ATGCCTGGGCTCCCACTGGGAGGCCTTGGAAACCCACCACCCTCTCCCCCTTGCCCTCCACACAGATGACTTCTACTTCTCTCAGTCTCTGCTTTGCTGGTCCCTCTGCCTGGAACTCCCTCCCTCCCTAACTCAGTCTGGCCAACACCCACTTGACATCCCTTCCAGCACTGACATCACCTCCTTCCAGAAGTCCCCCAGGCCTGGCAATGCTGCTGGAGCAAATGAATGGATGAAGGAATGAGGTGGGAAAAGGGAGGGGGCAGGCTTACGGAGCAGCCGAGGGGGTCTATAGGCCATAGGGAGACGCATGGCTCCCTCCTGGGGCAATGGGGAGCCAGAGCAGGCTTTGAGCAGAGGACAGTCATGTTGAAAAATTTCTCTTATTTGCAGGGGCACCTTTTTGTGCCGTGGGCCCTTATTAGCGGAAGTTTGTAAGTTCAAAAAATCAAACACCTACGATGGTGAAGGAAACCCGTTAGAAACCCATTACATTCGACACTGTTATCAAAATCAGTTTTAATTGTGATGGAATGTGGGCATCTTTCTTAATACATTAAATAAGATGGCCCAGGGCACCTCCGACGACTGTCATCAGTAGAAGCAGGGGGAGCGTGAGTGATGCAAGTTTTTCCTTCTAAGGAAGAGCTCCTGAATTCTACTTGCAAACCCCTCGGGTGTCTGGGGACCCTGGTGAAAACCCCCCAGATGCTGGGATGTGGTAAGAGCACCTGGAAGGTGAGCAAACTTCACAGAGGTGTCACTAAGAGGGACTGGGGTGATTTGCAGGGATGATGGACAAGCATCCAGACAGACAAGCATCCGGCAGCTGGGCCACCTGCTCAAAGAAAAACAGGAAGACTGCACTCTGCTCCTCTGGCCTCTCTGGGCCCAGCCTTTGTCTTTGTGACTTTAACTCCCAAAGGCAGGCCGGGAGCCCCTGAGTCAGCTTCCAGCTTCCTTCCCAGCTCCGGAAGCAGCAGGAAAAACAGCCTGACAAGGCGGCGTCACCCAGGTTCTGTGCTCTCCTGACAACACTTCATGGTTCCCCATCACAGCCCCACAGGGCCAGCTCTGAGAGTAACAACCCATTTCAGAGATGAGGAGACAGAGGGCCAGAGAGGCCCCAGGTCACCCAGCCTGGCTGTGGCCAAGCTGGGACAGGAATTCAGGTCTCTCTGGATGCTAAGTCCTGCCTGTGGCCATTCCTGCTCTGAGTTCACCACCTACCTCAAGACATCTACTCATTCATTCATTCCTCATTCGTTCATCAAGTGATTCACCAAGGAAGTTGCCAAAATCATCTGAAGATCCAGGGGAGAGATTTCCCTAAACACAACAGACCCAGTTTCATGTTTTACGACTCAAATGTGTGCTTTGAGGTGGGTGGCTGCTTCTCTCAGCCTCAGTTTCCTGCACTGTAGGTTGATGACCTGGGGTGATGAGACCGCCCCACCCCCATGGGGGGGGGGCGGGGTTAGTTGCAGCCTGCACACAGCAGGTGCTCAAGAGATGCCTGTTGAACAGATGGCCTTTCCATCCTGCTCCCAGCACCCGGCCTTATCTGCACACTACCCCCACCCCACTTACCTCTCCCTGTGGCAGGAGGGTTCTTTGCCTGTGGGCAGGAGGGCTGAGGGCAGGGCAAGGGCCTGAGCGGGCTGATCCTGCCATTCCTGGCACCGGCACCAGGAGGCAGTGGGTGCCCATTCAGCTTTCCTCTACCTGCCCCCAGCACCCCGCACTCAGTTGGGGAAGCTGAGACATTGATCCTCCTGCCATCAGGCTGGCTTCTCCCACCACATTGATGGTGGACATAGTAGGCACTAGGGGACAGGGAGGTATCATTCATTCTCTTATTGAGCACCTACTATATGCATAGCCCTATGCCAGGCATTGGGGACACAGCCATGAATAAGGCAGAGAAAAATCCTTGCCCTCATGGAGCTGACATTTGAGTGGGAGAGATGGACACCAGGCAGTTACAACTGGGGTGATCGGGGCTGTGATGGGGAACCCCAGGGGTTGGAGGCAGGAGGACCCAGGGGAGCCCCTGAGCTGGCTTGAGCAGGGAAGGGAGGGCGTCAAGGAAGGCCTCCAAGAAGCATGAGACCTAAGAACGAATAGAAGTTTGTTCAGGTAAAGAGCAGGAGAACCAGCGTTCTGGGCTGAGGGTACAGCCTGTGCGAAGGGTTGGAGGCAGCCGCCCCCTGCCCCCACATAGACAGGCAAGCACGCAATAATGCTGCACCGACGCAGACGGTGAGGTTCTGGAACAAGCACTGAGCAGCAGCTCAAGGGAACGGAGGAGAGAGAGGCCGGAAATAGATATTCATGGAGTGGCCAACTATGTGCCAGGTGCTGGGGACCTCGGGGAGACGGATAACCGGCCGTTAGACATAGTGCGACTGTAGTTGTAATTGGGGATGCCCAAGCAGCTGTAGGAGGCAGAGATGGCCAAGCCGAGATTTACGGGGTGGAGAAGGGTCAGAGGAGGAATGAGTGGAACAGCATTCCAGGCGGTGGGAACAGCAGGGGGCACTGGTGTACAGAGGGCTGATCTTCAGCTCTGCTCTGTCACTCACAGGGAGGGAGGTTCAGCCCCTGGCCAGCTCCTCAGCCCCATCCCCACCGAGGCCAGCCATCTTCCACCTGGACCAGGACAGTCCCTTCCTCCCTGGTGCACAGGCGCTGTCCCCATACCCTATAGTCTGTTCCTCATCACAGCCAGATGAGGCCAAAGTCCCCGCCAAGCTTGGCCTCTGTTTGAGCAGCTGCCAGGGTCACCTCGCCCCGCCTGGCTGAGTCAGGCCTGGCGTGGCCTGAAGAGGAACTTCCTCACCAATCGGGTCTGGTAGGCACCGGGGCAGGCAGCAGGCTCCAGGTGGCTGGGGCAGGGCCTTTCCTCGGAGGCAGCTTTGAAGCAGCCTTTCCACCCAGACGGGGCTCGGAGTCACTGGGCTCGCAGCCCCCACCGGCTCCTGGGTGGAACCAACTCCCACAAGGGCCTGGAGCTTGGTGCTCCCGAGCGAGGTCTGTGCCTCGTGCTGGGACCGGCCACAAGGCCTCCATGGAGCAGATGAGGAGATGGAGACTCAGAGAGGTGGAGAGATCGACCCTGGGTCCCACAGCCTGGCCTGGCCTGGGACTCTGTGGGTATTTGGAAACACAAATTTCAGGGTCAGGCTCCCATGATGACAAATCTGGGATCACAGCTGGGACTCTGGCTCGCCGGGTGAAATTGGGCAAGTCGTTCCGCCTCTCTGGGCTTCAGTTTTCTCATCTGCAAAAGTGGGGTGGTGATGGCACCCACAAGTGGGAAGGGGGCCAGCACATGTGAAGAGGGAGCTGTGCTCTAGGGCTCAGGGGACACTGAGGAGGTGGGCTGCTGGAGTGGAGGGGGAGGGGAGGGGAGGCGGATCATGCAGGGAGGGCCTTGGGGGCCTTGGGGAGGACTTTGGCTTTTACCCTGAATGAGGTGGGAGCCAGGGAGGATTCTCAGCAGAGGAGGGGCCTGACCTGATTCAGGTGTTCCCAGGCCTTTTCTGGACACTAAAGGAAGAACAAACTGGAGGGGTGAGGTCAGGAGCCATGAGACCAGGTATGATGGGGTCTGGGCTGGAACGAGGCAGAGCGGAGGGGAGAAACCCAGAAATCTTTGCTCGTCTCCATGTTTCTTGCCCAGCCGGGCTCCCAGGAGCCCAAAGGCGAGGCAGGGACTTTAGCCCAGGAGGCTGCTGGTTGGGGTGAGGGTGACATGGGGTGGGGCACAGCAGAGTGATGGGCGGGGTTATACGCAGTGGCTCCCAGGTCAAAGTGGCTGGACCACTCAGGCAAGTGCAAGTGCGTGGGCTCCTGACAGATACACATGTCACATGCCAGGCTGGGAACAGCCCTGCTGTGCCCTTAAGAGCTTGGGGCTGAGGGGCGGGGTATGAGGGCTCCCCCCCACCCCCGGCCCTGCCCCGAAATCCAAGCCTCCCTTCTCTGGCCTCAGGATCTGATACTGATCCACTTGCCTAGTTAGGGCAAGTTCTTCTGCTTCTCTGGGCCTCAGTTTCCTCACGCGTAAAAGGGAGGATAACGCTAACACCCAGACATGGGAAAAAGAGCAGCATATGCAAAGCCCTAAGGTAGAGCCGTGCCCTCGTATCATTCAGCCCCCAGTTCTGCCCAGGACATTTTCTGACCAGGGCTGGAAAGGCCATCAGGAGGAGGAACCTGCCCGTGCAAAGGCTTGGGGGTGAGCAAGGGTTGGCACATCCAGAGCATGAGTGGGGGCTGGAGAATTCTCGAAGACTGCCGCTTCACTGGAGCTGGGAGAGGAACCACTGGGGAGAGATTTGAGACCACAAGTAAACCGAGACATCCCCACATCCTCCTTCCAGTGGGTGGAGGCAACCGGGCCAGTCCAGCCTCCTGGACTGGCTCACTCAGGCCCCAGTCACATGGCCCCGCATCTCAGAGCCCAGCTGGACCCCTCTGCTTCCCTTGTCCTGGACTGGGGCACATCCCACAGTGGCCTCAGAGACCCCTGTGATCACTCAGGCCTGGGCAAACGTCTGAGCACCTCCGTGCCTCAGTTTACCCATCTGTAAAATGGGGAAGCGATCGTTCCTTCTGCACCTGTGAATTGCAGGGGCATGCTTCATAAACGCTTGAGATTATACTTATTATGGATTATTGTGCGGATTAATCAGAGGGCAGAAAGAGCATCCCTCGGAGTCTGACACCCCCAGCCTCGGTCCCGGCGCCTCTCCTCTCCTGCCCCCTTCAGAGCCTCAGTTTCCCCACCCCAGACCCGAGGGGCGCGCGGAGGCGGCCAGGGGCCCCCTCGCCCCTCCGGCCGGCAGGGGCAGCACGGAGCCGCCCCGCACACCCGGAAGGGCCCCGCCTCCGGCCCCGGCCCCGCCCAGCCCGGGCAGCCCAGAACCGGGAGGCGGTGGCGGCGGCGACCACGGCGGGGACGGTGCGCGCGGCGGCAGCGGCGGGAGGCGCGCGGCGCCATGGCGGCCGCCGAGCGGCGCGCCTTCGCGCACAAGATCAACAGGTAGCGCGGCCGCCGGGCCCCTCCCGGGCCGCCCGCACGTGTCCGAGCCCCGCCCCGGGGCGGCCCGGCCCTCCCCGGCCCCGGCGCCCCCGATTCAAGCCCCTTCCGCCCGGGCCGGCTCCGGCCCGCTTCCTCCGGCGGGGGCCGGGGGCGGCGGGAGGCGGGGAGGGCGGCCGGGGTCCCCGCTGGGGCCGCGGCGGGGCTGCGAGTGCGATGGCGGCTGAGCCGAGGTCCGCCCTGGGCGCCGGGGGGGTGGGGTGGGGTGGGGGGGACGCGTGGGGGCGTGTCCGGGGGCCTTCCTGGAGGCGGCGGCGCAGGGAGAGCGGGGACCGGGAGCCCTCCGCGTCCCTCGCCATCCCCCGGTCCTTCCCGGGTCCCCGAGCCCGAGGGCGTGGGAGCGGGAGGGGCCTTCGCGACCCACCCTCTTTCCTGGCGCGGGGCTGGGATGCTCCTGGAACCGGGATTTGGGAACAGGGATGGTGCTCTTGGAGGCCTTTGAGGCCCCTCGGGAAGTTTCCCGTGCTCTTCCCCCACTGCCAGGGTCCCGTGCCCAGCTGTCTGGGGAGCAGGAGACAGCTGTGGATGCCCTCCCCACCCCCCAGCCCTGCTTCAGGCTCTCCCAGCGGCGACTGGACGCGCTGGAGATGGATGGGTGATTGAATGGAGGGAGTGGGGGCTGGGGACCCAACCAGCTGGTGGGCAGACGGGGGAGGGGACAGGCGCCAGGCGCTGGGGGATCCATTTCCGTGGCCACTGGAGATTGTAAGAGACTCAGCCCGGGTGGCAGAGGTCAGACTAGGGCTGAAGAGCCTCAGCCCCCTCTTTGCCTCCCTGGCCAGTCAGAGTCTGCCCAGGGGTCCTCTCTACAGGGGACCTGTGCTGGCCATGCCCAAGTGAAAGAGCGCCCTGTGGGTCCAGAGCTGGCCTGATGGAGACACAAGAAAAGGCCCCACCCTTGGTGGCAGATACAATGGGGTAGACAGAGCAGTAGCACAATAAAGTAGATTATGTATTAATGGTAAGTGCCAGTGCTATGGGGACACACAAGGCAGGGAAAGGAGATGGGGACGATGGGGTTCATTTTAGACATGAGAAGCACATCAGGAAGTCCAGGATGATAGGGTGACACTTGAGCAAAGTTCTGAAGGAGGTGAAGGAGGCATCCATGCCCATATGTGGGGGAAAAGCAATCCAAACACAGGGAAAGGCAAGTGCAAAGGCCCTGAGGCAGGAGGAAGCATAGTGTATTTACAGGTCATCTGAGGAGGCCAGCCAGTCTGGAGCAGAGTGAGGAAGGGGTCAGTGGGAGCAGATCGTGCGGCGTCTTGTGGGTTGTGGGGAGGACCTTAACTTGTATCCTGTGAGGTGGGAGCCATGAAGAGTTCTGAACATACGGATGTGACCATGTGTCTGGAGCATAGTGGTCAGGCAATTTTTATGTTCTGTTATCTTTATGTTCCCGAATTGCCTCTCTGTCTTGGACCTTTGACTTCTCTGAACGCGTTTCTTTGCCACTCGGTCTCTGTGTTCTTGGGTTCTGGCTTCCACTCCAGTAAAAAAGAGAGGTCCTGGGTCCTGCCCTGGGGAACGGATGCTACAGAGCCCAGGGTAAGAAGAGCAGAGAATGATCCTGGGGCCCCAGTGAACCACAAGCAAAAGGCTCACGTCTTCTAGCCATCCTCTGCCAGGGCCTCCAGAGCAGCCTAGTGGACACCCAGGTGTCTACATGCTCAGATCTGGGCCTATATTCATCTATTCATTCAGTCATTCATTCCACAATGCCATATTGATCCAAAAGTTAAACAGTCCCCCAGTTTCCTAATGAACAGATTCTTTAAAAGAAACAAAGATTTGGGGGGACAACTTAAAACTACAAACTCTTTCTTTTTTTTTAAAGATTTTATTTACTTATTTGAGAGAGAGAATGAGAGATAGAGAGCACGAGAGGGAAGAGGGCCAGAGGGAGAAGCAGACTCCCCGCTGAGCAGGGAGCCCGATGCAGGACTCGATCCCGGGACTCCAGGATCATGACCTGAGCCGAAGGCAGTCGCCCAACTAACTGAGCCACCCAGGCGTCCTAAAACTACAAACTCTTTTATAAAAGTGAATAACCTGGACAAACATTACTGTATGCAATATAACTTGTTCATTTTTTCACTTATACTGTTTAAAATAAAACACAATATGGAATGGTGATAATGGCCAGTGCTTATAATATGTTTATGGCTGGCTGGTCCCCAGCGGGAATGCCATTTGTCACCAGAGCCCGGTGACATAGGTATAACCATAGAAAGCCAGACTCACAGTGGTTAGGTCACTGTCGAGTGTCTCTTGTGGGGAAGTGAGCCCAGGAGTGTGTGGCCCCAATCTCAGAAACCGTGTCTCTTTCTGCCCCCACGTATCCCCCGTTCTTCCAGGTATCTGATAGCGGCATCTTCATTCGGCACCCCCAGGTGTCTCCTGCGGGGCAGGTGGCATTTCTCACTCAAGGAAATAGTGATTTCGTTGGAGGCGTGGGAGGGCAAAGAGACATGTATTGACCAAATTCCAAAGGTGCCTCTGGGATTTCAAGGAAATGTCTCCCTCCCACCCCGTCCCCAAATACATCTGCAAACGTGAGCACACACATGTATTATTATTTTCTACCTTTTAAAAAATGGTGACATCTGACATGCATCTAGAAAAATGCAAAGTTTAAATAGTAGTTAACTATAGAACCAACGCCAGGGGTGTGCCTGGCCGCCTCAGTCAGTGGAGCATGGGACTCTTGATCTCGGGGTCATGGGTTCGAGCCCCACATTGGGGGTAGAGATTACTTTTTAAAAAGTTAAAAAGCAGGAGTATCCAGGTGGCTCAGCCGGTTAAGTGTCTGCCTTCCACTCAGGTCATGATCCGGGGGTCCTGGGATCAAGCCCGGCATCGGGCTCCCTGCTCAGTGGGGAGTCTGTTTCTCCTTCTCCCTCTGCCCCTCCCCCTCCCCCTGCTCGTGCGCTCTCTCTCTTGCTCTTTTGTGCGCTCTCTCTGTCTCAAATAAATAAATAAAATCCTAAAAAAAATGAAAACACAAAACAACAACGAGACAATAAATACCAGGGGAAAAAGTCACTGGGGTTAAAGGCAGAGATGAAGGCAGTCTCTATCTCCTGGGCCGCCCGACCTAGCCACCCCTCCTGATCTGCACCCAGTTCCGTCCCCCAGGGAACTGCCATGCTGATGGCCGCTGCCCCCACTTCCTCACTTGCGTTATGGTTTCTCCAGCCCGGCTGGTTCCCTGTGCGCCACGGGTTACTTTTGCCTGCTTAGAACATCTTATCAACGGAATCACGTGGGGTGTCGAGGCTTGTGTGCCCAGAGTCTGTCACCCGACATAATGTCAGGAGGAGGAGGGCTCGTCTATGCTGTCGCCTGTGGGCGGGTGCATCCTTTTTCATTGCTGCATACTATTCCTCCCGCCCGCGCGCAGTCTCCGCCTTCGGTCAAAAAAACCTGTGTGTCTTTTCACTTTGGGGTTGTCATTACCGGGGCTGCCGTGAACATTCTCAGCCTCCTGAGTGTCTACACCTCTGCGTGGAATTGCTGGATTGGCTTATCTTCAACTTTGCTTGATCGTTGCAGACGGTTGTCTAAAGGGGCTCCCCCAGCAGCAGATGAGAGTTCCTGTCGCTGGCAGGCAGATCATTTGTCTTTAAAATGTTCTGCCAGTCCAGGAGGGCTGGGGTGGGGTATAAAGAGGAATCTCTTTATGGTTTTATATGCATTCTTAGTCTTCCCTCACTTTTTTTACCCAAGTGGGAACACAGAGCGTCCGAGGCTTATGCCATTCTCGTTTCTGGTTTTATAGTCCTCCTCCCCTGTGGGGATAGATTTCTGTTAATCCGACCAGCCCTGGGGTGAGGTCCACAGTCTCACATGAATTCCCACTGATGCCACTGCTTCATCTTTCCCCTCTGAGTGTCTCTGTAGCATCATGTAGGGTTGTTGACTTTCACCTTAGGAGGATTTGTCTCAGCAGTAGCTGTAACCCACCACCTGATCTTTGCAGTTTCTCTCATTGCAATCCTGAGGTCACTTCCTGAGGAAAACCAGTATATTCAGCTCAACATTTTGCCTCCTTTTAAAAAATAAAAGATGTGCTCCGTGGGGGTGTCTGAAGCAGATCTGATGTGGGCATGAGAAAGAGAGAGGAATTGGGGATGACTCCCAGGCGTGGGTCCTGAGCATCCCCAGAGCTGCCCTTAGGGAGACAGGGAGGATGGCAGGAGGGCAGGTTATGGTCAGGCTGCATGCCTGCAAGACCCCACGTGGGCATGCAAAGGAGGCAGGTGCCACACAGGGTGGACCCAAGGATTGTCCTTGTTTGGTGGTCCTGAAACCTGGAGGCTGGATGGGACCACTGTGGCCGGGGCCAGGGGGGTGGTGAGCGTGGACACGGGAGAGGCGGGTTTTGGAGCCCCTGTTTTTGGCCCTGTTCCCCATCATGGGCAACGTGGAACACCACGTGCTGGGGGGCACAGACTCTGACTTCTGGCCCAAAGGGATTTGATTCTTGGCACCTACCACACTCGGCTCTATAACCCCAGATGCCTCCCGACCCGCCCTTTTCCGAGCCTCACTCCTCTTCTGGCCCAGCATAAAAAGCAAGGCCAGAAATTCCAGTTTCCCAGGATCCTTTTAAGGCAACTTAGTGACAGCAAGCCTTAATTGAGCACTTACTGTGTGCCGAGCCTTATACTCAGAACAGTTCGATAAGGTGTGGGTACTGTACTGAGCCCAGAGGTCCAGAGAGGGGATGATGCTCATCCATGCTTGCCCAGGCCCAGGTGCAGAGCCCTGTGACACAGGAAAGTGGCTCCCATGGCCACAGTGTTGAGGACCTGGCCTTTTCCCACTCGGGGGCCACCTCTCCAAGGCCAAAGACAAAATGAAGTGGGAGTCCTGGCCGTCCCTCCTCCCCTCTCCCTGCTCTGTTGGCGTCCTGGTCCCGGCATTTTCATAAATCATCCCCCAAGACCCTGTGTGCCCAGGCTTCCAGAGGAGGTGGCCCCAACTTTGGGAATTTGAGGACAAATAGCTCATTTGGAACACCCTTTGGATTTCGTAGAAGATCCTCCATCAGCTCCCTCCACACCCCCAAACATTAGAAGCAAGACTCTGGGACAGTTGAGAGAGAAAGTAAATAGAATACAGAGGCAGAGGAGTGAGGCTGAGGTCTCAACTGGAGGCCCCCATGATGGGTCAGGGTCATGGTCAAGTTTTGTTTGACCTATACGGATTTGAAGTCAGAGGCTTCCAGATGACCCCCGTTGGCCCCAGGCTCCCCCACCCCCACCTGTCTTCCCTGAGCCCACTGCACACGTTCATCTCATCGGGGGTCCATGGTTTGTGATCAGCATAGTACTTCTGGGGGGTTACAACTTTGCATTATGAAAACTTCCAAGCACAAAAGTGGAAAATGGGAGTGAGGCCCAAATACCCAGGCAATTGCCTTCTCAATTTTAAGAGGGATTGAGGCCCAGAGGCTCCTGGGTGACTCAGTTGTTAAGCGTCAGCCTTCAGCTCAGGTCATGATCTCAGGGTCCTGGGATCAAGCCGTGCATCGGGCTCTCTGCTCAGCAGGGAGTCTGCTTCTCCCTCTCCCACTCCCCCTGCTTGTGTTCCCTCTCTCGCTGTGTCTCTCTCTGTCACATAAATAAAATCTTAAAAAAAATAATAATAATAAAAAATTTTAAAAAAAGAGAGATTGAGGCCCAGAAGGGGTATCCCATCTGCCCAAAGCCACACAGCTAAAATATCTGGGGCTTCTCCTAACTCACGGTGGATTTAGGGAAGTTGGACCAGGAGGGAAATGGGGAGGGATCCATTCCCCTCAAGAAAAATTTATTGAGTACCTACTGTGTGTGGGGCTGGTGCTGGGGCCTCCATGGGGACCCCACAGCCCTATTCCTGCCTTCATAGAGACCCTGGGAAGCAGGAGTCTCCATGCTTGGAGCACAGAGCCCAGCCACAGGGTCTTTGCACTTGCTGTACCCTTTGCCTGGAATCCTCTTCCTCAGATAACTGTGCGGCTCTCTCTCCTTCCCCTCCTTCCAAGCTCAGCTGAAGGAATTGAGTGCCTGGGGGTACCAAGTCCCAGATTCCTGTGCTGGCCCCCTCCCCTGTGGGTCTTGCCCCTTCACCCTCCTCCTCCCTGACTTGGAAGGCCAGCACAGGTGCGGGTGGCCCAGGAAGGCCATAGCCCAGATCTTGGTTACTGGGTGTGCTCTGTGAGTCATGCTGGTCTCTTAACACGCGCTCACATGGGTGAACTGAGGCTCAGAGGCAGGAGTAACTTGTCCAAAGCCCCATAGCAAGGATGGGACAGGGTGGGCGGAGGTCCCCCAGATGAGGAAGCCAAGGCCGGGAACCAGGGGGCTGGCCAGCCAGGGCTCACACCCGTTGCTGGGCATCAGGGATAAAGAAGGATCTGTGACCCTCATGCCCTGCAGGGAGCAAATCCTTCCATCTGTGCATGGCCGGCAGTGGGTGGGTGGTGTTGGAAGGGCCCCAGGCCCAGCTTGGGGGGTCCTGGAGCCTCTGTATCAACCACAACCCTGGGGCCCTGAGGCTGAGATCTGCAGATTCTGAAGCCTAGGATCTCCTGGTCCGTGGCCTGGGTTTTCCCTTCCACAGCCTGGATTTTCCTCTCAGAGAATGAATTTATTGACCTGAAGTGGAGTTCCCAGGGCCACATTGCCCAAGTTGTCATGTCCTCAGTGGCCCCTTCCCTGCCCCTGCAGGACAGTGGCTGCGGAGGTGCGGAAGCAGGTGTCTCGGGAGCGCAGTGGCTCTCCCCACTCCAGCAGGCGCGGCAGCAGCTTTCTGGGGGTACGTGTTTGGGAGGTACTCCCCTCCATGACCCTGCTCTCTAGCAGATGTGGGGTTCCCCTCTGCCCGGGCCTGGTCCCATCCACCCCTCCCACTAGTGCCCTGTCCTGGGTGGGGCTGTCCCCACTCCTCTTTCCCTGTGGGTGGGGAGGGTAGTCCCCTCTCTGCAGCTGCTGAGGGGTTTGGGGGGGCAGCGCTGTGGGTGGTCAGCCTGATGCTGCCCCACCTCCTGCTGCCGGGACCACCCAGATTGGGGGGGGATGGGAGGTACTTCCAGCTGCAGCAGAGAGGGAGTGGGGCCTGAGGAATTGTCTTTCTCTTTCTTTGCTGCAGCCAGCTTGCCTTTCCTTCCAGCATAACCCTGCCCCTCCAGGCACAGGGGTGTGATTTCCTGCCTGGAAAGAGGGGCGGGGCAGGCCATGCTGGGATGGGGGTAGAGAGTCTGAGGTCACTGTCCTCCCTGGCTCCTCACAGCTCCAACACCCTCCATGGCTCCCACTGCCCTCTTACTTGAGCCCAAGCCCACGCCCCCCCCTCCCCCCCCGCTTCCTCAGCCCCAGGGCAGGGCCCACAGCCACCTTGCTCCAACCCAGGTCCCACTGACTGAAGTCATTGAGCCACTGGACTTCGAGGATGTGCTCCTGAGCCGGCCACCAGACGCCGAGCCCGGGCCTCTCCGGGACCTGGCTGAGTTTCCAGCCGACGACCTGGAGCTTCTGCTACAGCCCCGGGAATGCCGGACCACAGAGCCCGGGATCCCTGAGGATGGGTGGGTTCAGCCCCACGCCCTCATTGTCTGTAACTCCGGACTGCCTCCGTGCCTGCCCCTCATCCACACCCCCTTTCCATCAGGCTCCCCACAGCCCCAAGTTCAACTCCTGGCTTGGCTGTTGACCTTGGGCAAGTTACCCTCCCTCTCTGAGCTTCCGTCTCCACATCTCCAAAACGGGCAGAAGGGCAGGCCCTACCTCAGGCCACTGGACAGATGAACACCGTGCCCTGCCTCTCTTTACCCTGATTTTATTTTGTGCAGAAAGCTGGATGCCCAGGTGAGGGCCGCGGTGGAGATGTATACAGAGGATTGGATCATCGCTCACAGGAGGTGGGTCTGGCTCGGGGGCATCTCCGGGCAGAGGGTCAAGAGGCCAGGTCTGAGCCCATTGGGCCAGTCCTCCTGCTTATCTGCCCACTGTGCTGCAGGGGCAGCTGGCCTTCTCTGGTGGATCACAGGGAGGGTGGAAGGCCTGGCAGGCATCACATGGACCCATGGGTGTGCCTTCATCCCTGCTACCCACCCAGTCCTGCCTCCTCCTAGGTACCAGCATCTGAGTGCGGCATATAGCCCCATCACCACGGAGACGCAGCGAGAACGGCAGAAGGACCTCACCCGCCAGGTCTTTGAGCAGGACACTTCTGGGGATGAGAGGTCCGGCCCAGAGGACTCGGTGAGGGACCCCCGGGCATGCGTCACCATAGGGGTGTGTGGGCTCTGGCCCCAGCTCTCGGTCACATGTGACGGGAAGAGACCCAAACGACCTTGAACCCAAAAGGAAATGTGTCAGCCCCGTGAGTTAAAAGTTAAGGGTCATGATTATGAACATTTATTAAGTGCTTAGTGTGTACTAAAGGCTTTATACTTGTCCTCATCTTTCATCCTGGGAGGCAAGGCCACACCCATTTTGCAGATAAAGAAACTGAGGCATAGCAAGGTGATTAGAGGAGCTTCACTGGCCCACTGGGTCCTGAGCCAGCATTCACCAGGCTCGTGCCCACGATAATCCTACCGAGAGTTACTGATATCGCTTCCATTGTTACTATTTTTAGATGTAGATGAGGCTCCTGAGGCCTTTTGAGCTGGGTTCGGGGACACAGGGTCACAGAGCTGAGTGGGGGTTTGAACCAGGGTGGTCTGCCTCTGACCATATAGCTGAGTCCGGGAGGTCAGGCAGGTTACCCTGAGCCAGCGACAGTCCCCTTGGGAAGAACTCTCCCTCCCCTGTTGACAGTGAGCAAGGCCCCAGGGAAGGTTCTCACTGGCCCAGCCCACACATGTCCTTTCCTTGACCCCAGGAGGAGCCTCCCCCAACGGTGGTAAAGCAGGGGCACCCTCCCCTGCAGAAAGTTCTACAAAGAGGCTCAGCAAAGCCTCAAAGTGACCCTTGTAGCGGTGACCCCCCCCACCCCCTGGGCCTCAGCTTTCCCATCTACGAATTGGGCAGGGTAACAGTCTCACGGGAGCGGGATTGAAGGTGCATCCAGCAGGCGCTCTGTGTTTGTGCCTCCTCACCGGCAGGATGACCCCCGGCACTCCTCAGGCTCCCCAGAGGACACCCCGCGGAGCAGTGGTGCCTCCGGCATCTTTGACCTGAGGAACTTGGCAGCTGATTCACTGCTGCCGTGGCTGCTGGAGCGCACAGCCCCTGAGGATGTGGACCGGCGGAACGAGGCCTCGAGGCGGCAGCACCGACCCCGCGCCCTGCTGGCGCTCTACCCGGCACCTGATGAGGTGGGAGCCCCCAGACCCGCCACAGCCCTGAGGCCCACACCCACGCACCCGACCCTATATGGTCTCCCACCAACACTTGCTGGGGGCCTACTATACACCCTGGGGTTTTTTGTTTCATTTTTGTTTTTGGGGGGTTTAAAAAAATATTTATTTATTAGAGAGAGAGAGAGAGAGAGAGAGAGAGACAGTGCGGGCATAGAGGGGACGGGCAGAGGAAGAGGGAGAGAGAATCTCAAGCCGACTCCCACTGAGCGCAGAGTCCATCCCATAACCCGAAATCAAGAGTCAGAGGCTCAACCTACTGAGACACCCAGGTGCCCCTGGACACCCTGTTTTTTTATTCAATTCCTTTTATTGGATGTCAACTACATGCTGTTATATTTATCCCAGCAGCATTTATTGGATACCTACCATATACTCCTATCGTCTTTCAACCAATACTTAATGTATGCTTGTGTATAGTCTTCTCCTTAATTCAAACAGAATTTAATCAACTGATATTTATTGAGCACCTCCTATATATGCCTATATTGACCCAAGCAACATTTATTGGGCACCTAGTGTATACCCTGTGTTTTTATTCAGTGGCTTTTATTTTATATATACTCCTATATTTATCCACCCAGCATTTATTGAGCACCTATTATATATTTCTCTATTCAACCGATGTTAATTATATGCCTATTGTATAATCCTTTATATAGCAACTCATATGTCTTGAGTACTTATGTTAACCCTACCAACTTTGTTTTTGAGTAATGTCTATGCCCAACATGGAGCTTGAACACACAACTCTGAGATCAAGAATTGAGGGCTCTACCAACTGAGCCAGCCAGGCGCCCCTACCCAACCAACTTTTATTGGGAACCTGGTGTATACACCTCTGTTTTCATTCAGGCATTTATTGAGTGCTTACTGTATACTCCTATGTTTATTCAATAAGTACTTATACCTGGGGCCTAGTATATATCCCTCTGTATGTCCAGTCAGCATTAATCAAATGTTTTCTGTAGACATCTATGTTTATCTAACCACCTCTTAGTAGGTCCCTACTGTATGCCTCCGTATTTTTTTGACCAACATGTATGGCAAGCCTTGGAGGTACAACATGAACAGGATAGACTCAGTCCCTGCCCTCAGAGTTCACAGTGTAGTGGGGGAGAGACCCTCCTCCCAAGAAATCGCAACCCAGGCCGAGTGGTGCTGTGATGAGTTGCCGGATATTGGCCCTCACATGGCCCTCTGTGTCCCAGCCATGTGGCCCATTGCAATAGGGCACGGTGAACACCTGGACAGGGAGACTGCTCAGGCCTCAGGGGTCAGGGAAGGCTTCCTGGAGGAAGTGCCGGCTAAGCTGCAACCTGGATGAGGAGGGGACAAGGAAGGGCATCCAGGCAGGGGGAATAAAAGGAACTGCAAGAAACTTTAGTCAGGCTGGGGGGTAGAGCTGGTCTCAAGCCACGCATTCCAAGCCCTTCTTAAAGGACGTGTCCCAGCTGCCCTCCCTGGCTCTTGGCAGGACGAGGCTGTGGAACGCTGCAGCCGCCCCGAGCCGCCCCGTGAACACTTTGGACAGAGGATCCTGGTCAAGTGTCTGTCACTGAAGTGAGTGTGCTGACCCACCCCCTCCCTTCAGACGTGCGAGGCCCCATGTAGGTTCCAGTGCGCGCGCACGTGGTGCCCATTGCCCAAACTGGGCCATGACTGTGTGCAGCCCTGAGACCCATGAGGAGGTCTGGGCACTTTTAGATGGGAGATAAGACTTCCTTTTCTCGTTCTTCAAAGCCACCAGGCCTTAAGCACCAACTATATGCCAGGCTCCATTCTCAGCCCTTCACATGCATTACCCCTAATCTTGTGGGATAGGCGTGGGTTGGGGGGAAAACCGAGGCACAGAGTGGCAATCATTGTGCCTGAGATCACATGACTTGTGAGGCCAGAGTCTGGCTCTCGCTCTGCTGGGACCCGGGCTGGCGGGGGCGCTGGGGACCCGGACCTAGCTTCCAGCTGACCGAGGCTCCCCCCACATCTGTCCCTGGGAGCAGCCAGAAGTGCGTGGGAATGAAGCTGAACAGGATGTGGCCTTGGACCGAAGCCCAGGCCTGCCCCTCCCCACCCTGAGTTCCTGCCTGGATGGGGGCAGGAAAGGGAGGTCCCGGTCTGGCCTGAGGCCCAGGTGGGCCGCCTGCCCCAAGCACTAGGGCTGGGAACCAGCTCTATGAGTATCCAGTCATTCAGCAAGCATTCATTGAGCACCTACTGTGTACAGGACATGTAACCATGGGATGACCACACAGGGCTCTCTAGGTGGGGGGACATGGTACACCCAAAGGCTGGGAGATGTCTGGAGGGGAGAAAATGAGGCCAAGAGGTGGGCAGGGATGGACCATGCAGGATTTTGTTCTCAGCACACTGGGGAGCCTCAAATTGTAAGTTTTAAGATGCTTCCTTAGACTCACATGATGAGTGGGAGCCAGCAGGGCAGAGTAAGACAGGGAGGTGATTATAGGGACTGTTCAGGGGAGTGAAGATGGGCCTGAGCCCAGGGTGGCAGAGGATACCCCAGAAAGGGGGGACAGGGAAGCCCAGGAGTTGAGAACTTCAAGATGGGGGGCATTGTTGTGCCAAAAGCTTCCTCTGTATCAACTGAACAAGGGCCATAGTTTCAGGGGAAGGGCTCTGCGTGAGTTACGGGGCTGGGGTTGGGGGGAGGATCTCAGTGGCTCAGTTTCCCCTTTTGCAAAATGGGACAGGCTTTTCCTACAAGCCCTTAAGTAGCAATTCTTGGTGGGCCAATGGAAATTAGTCCCCACCAGCACCATAATGCACCAAGTCTGGGCTGGGTCTCAAGAGGGAGTGGGGTGTGTGGGTGGTGGGAGTGTTAGGGACAGCCTCTGCCAGAGTCTTCCCATTCACTGTAGGTTTGAGATCGAAATTGAGCCCATCTTTGGCATCTTGGCCCTGTATGATGTGCGGGAGAAAAAGAAGGTAGGAGCCTCTTTCTTCCCTTTCCTACCCCAACCTTCATCCTTGTTCCAGGGCAGTGGGCTTCCTGGAGGTGGTGGCCCAGCTGCCTTTCATGTCCCCAGATCTCAGAAAACTTCTACTTTGACCTGAACTCGGACTCCATGAAGGGGCTGCTGCGGGCCCATGGCACCCACCCCGCCATCTCCACCCTGGCCCGCTCCGCCATCTTCTCCGTGACCTACCCTTCACCCGACATCTTCCTGGTCATCAAGGTGCCTGCTGGGGCTGGGTCAGGGGGTGATAATGGTAAACGCCGGAGGGTGGTCCCTGCTTTCATGGAAGAGGATGGCCAGGTCACCAAGAAGGGTGATCAAGTCTCTTGTGGGGGAAGCACAGGCAGCTGGGTAGCCCAGAGGAGGCTCCTGACCCAACCCAGGTGGGGAGAAATCACGGAGGGCTTCGGTGGAGAGGTGACTGCTAAGCCAAGACCCATGAGTGGGCGGCCTGGCACGTGCAGATGGACATTTAGAATGTTTTTTAAGTTGAGAGTTTTTCGGTTTATTAGGGGAGAAAGACCTAGTTGGCACATTTGTGTGAGATTTTCTGTTTCTAGGAGTGGGCTCAAATTTCCTTCCCCAAGACGTTCAGTTAGGTTTTACGCTAATGACACTAATTGAGCACCTACAGGCAGGCACTGCTCATGGTCAGTCAGACCACACGGGGATTACCACCTTTAACCTCACAGCAGCCTCGGGAGGTGGGGGTTGCTGTGGCCTCCATTTTACGGATGGGGAAACTGAGGTACAGAATGGGTTAGGGACCTATTTAGGCTCCCACAGCCCCCAAGTGGTCAGGATTGGCGTCCGGCCATGCTTGGAGTGGCCTCTTTGTATATTAACAAAAATACCAATGTAGAGAAAATATGGAGACTTGGGTTTGGAGTGGGTTCAAAGGGTAGGGGAGAGGGCAGCTGGCCGGGCACACCAACTGCTAGTGCTCAGTCTGGAGGACAGTGGGAGCCATGGGAGGTGTTGGAGCGAGAGCCCTAGCTGGATGGAGTGTCTGAGGGCCTACGAGGGCGCCCGGCGATTGGAAATGGGGTGGGAGGTTGGGGTCCGGACAGGGCCTCACTGGCCCTGCCTGCCCCTCAGCTGGAGAAAGTATTGCAGCAGGGGGACATCAGCGAGTGCTGCGAGCCCTACATGGTGATGAAGGAGGTGGACACGGCCAAGGTAAGCCTGTGGAGGCTGAGCGGGGTGGTGAAGGGGTCACCGGGCAGGGCAGATCCCGGATTCAGTAGGCCTGGGGCACTGAGCTTGTGGGGTGTGTTGGGGGGTCTCCCCACAGAACAAAGAGAAGCTGGAGAAGCTACGCCTGGCGGCTGAGCAGTTCTGCACCCGCCTGGGCCGCTACCGCATGCCCTTCGCCTGGACCGCGGTCCACCTGGCCAACATCGTGAGCAGCGCGGGGCAGTCGGACCGCGACTCGGACTCCGAGGGCGGTGAGGAGGCGGGGCTGCCTGGCCAGGGGCGGGGCTACTGGGAGGGGAAGGGGCGCCCTCTGCTGGCCGGACTTGGTACAAGGTCGAGTCTGCGTGTCTCTCTGGCCCTCCCCGCCTCCCTTTAATCTCTGCCCCCTGCATCTCCATCACTGCCTCCCCTAGAGCGGCGACCTGCCTGGACTGACCGCCGCCGGCGCGGGCCCCAGGATCGGACAAGTAGTGGGGATGACACCTGCAGCTTCTCTGGATTCCGCCCAGCCACGCTAACTGTCACCAACTTCTTTAAGCAGGTGCCATGGCCGTGGGGCTGGGGGAGGGTTTCCCAGGGACAGGCCCCCGTTACCCCGCTGTGGGCGCACGGGCCCCAGGGACCCAGTTTACGTGGGCATGTCCCGTGCAGGAGGCCGAGCGGCTCAGTGATGAGGACCTCTTCAAGTTCCTGGCTGACATGCGGCGCCCGTCTTCTGTCCTGCGGCGCCTGCGGCCCGTGACTGGTGCGTGGTGCACCCCGTAAATAAGAGCTGGCACTTCCATGCAGTCACTCAGCAAACCCACACTGAGCACCTGCTCTGCCAGGCCCCGGGGACCCACGGGGGACCGGATGCACAAATCCCTGACGTCAGGGGCTGGATCTTTAATGGGCGTCATAGACAAGAAACATAATAAGATGGATAGTGGGTCAAATGGGGGACATGGTGGCAGTGGGGACATGGGTCCTGAGGATAGAGCTGATCAAATGTGGAGGCAAGGTACAGCAATCGAGGGTGACTTCTGGCCTTAGCACCTGAAGGACAGCCACTAGAGGGCATCATGGAAAAGTCAGAGCCCCAGCCCTGAAGCCCGGAGAGGGTGGGGCCGGGGCTGGGGGTGGGAGGCTCCTGGGCAGGTGCAAACGTGCTCCTCTCTCCCCAGCCCAGCTCAAGATCGACATTTCCCCGGCCCCTGAGAACCCACACTTCTGCCTCTCCCCGGAGCTGCTTCATGTCAAGCCCTACCCAGACCCCAGGGGCCGGCCCACCAAGGAGATCCTGGAGTTCCCTGCCCGTGAGGTCTATGCCCCCCACACCAGCTACAGGTACAGCCCCCAGGGCCCAGCTGGACACTTGAATGGGGGGGGTATTCATGCATCATGCAGAGCGAGGTACCGTTTCTCCCAGACACACACAGACAACCAGAGTGAGATACCACTACTCTGCTTTAATGGAGGGGTGTGTACGCATGAAGGGTCCCATGTCCTGCCTCCACCCCTCCTCAACGGAGCCATGTCCTCTGTCTGTGTCCCCGCCTGCTTCCGTCTCTCCTCCGTGGCCAGAAGCAGGCCCCGGCACCCTGGCCGACCCCAGGGGACAGGCAGCTCCTCTTTGTGCAGGGGCCGCACGGGGCATGGCAGCGCCCCTCCGTGTAGACTGGTCCTCAGTTCCACCCAGGCAGGCTCAGGCTGGGAGCGCCGCTGTATGGAGTCTGGAAGGGAGATGAGGCTCAGCCAAGGCAAAGGGGCCCTCATCCGGGTGCTCTGTACACCTCCCATCCAGCAGCCCTGCCCAACCAGTCCCCTTCAGCCTCACCTCTCCTGGATCTTTCGTAGCCGATGCTGCTGTGCGGCCATCTCCCGCCCCTGTCGCTGCACATGGCCTGTGAGCGCCCACACGATGTGGCTCTGCTTGTCAGCGTGGGCCTGTGGGGTCAGGACAGAAACCTCAGCTGGGGCCCACTCACCTCCCATCCCCCGACCCTGCCCAGGGCTGTCCACCCCCAGCTGCATCTGTATGACCTAACAAGTCACTGCTACTCTGTGGCCTCAACTTCCCCATCTGTTAAATGGGGATGACAGAGGACTTGCTTCATGGGGGGGTTATAAGCATGATACGAATTATTAAGAGGCATGGCTGGGTAGTTCCTGGGCGCTCAAGAAACACTACCAGTTACTCTGATAGTATACATTTGTTGAGTAACTTCCATAGCCCCTGCCCCCTGCTGAGTATTTTATCTGTGTTGAGTCCCTGTCTCTGCTCTGAGACGTGAATTGTTGCCCTTATTTGCAAATGGGGAAACTGAGGCACGGGAAGGGACCAGGGTTTTGCCCAGGGTCACATAGGTTAGAGGCCATGGCACTGGGAGGCTGATCTGAAGATGTCTCTGGGACTCAAGGCTCAGAAGTGAGTTCTTCGTGGGAAATCAGAGTCTCCACTCCACCGGGGCCGGGAGGCTCTTACCTTTAAGGCCTCAAATTCTTGCTGGGCATGGCCCAGCCAAGCGCCCCTCAGCCGGACTTCCAGCCGCTGCATGCTCTCCCGCAGCACCTGTTGTCCCTGGGCCACCTCCCCTAGCGCCTGGGCCGTGGCCTCTGCTTGCAGCTTCAGAGCATCCTCCTCCATCTGAGCGATAAATAGTGGATGTTAGTAGGATGACCAACTTGTCTTTGTTTGCCTGGGACTTGCTTAATTTTAACACTGAAAGTCCTATATTCCAGGGATGCCATCCCCCCCTCAATCCTCGGCAAACCCAGACAGTTGGTTACCCTAGACAACTCCACCGCAAACTCCTACCCACCCCACGATGCCCCAACTGCAGTGCCCACCTGCATCTCCAGCAGGCTTGTGCGTAGCTCCTGGGCTGCATCCCGGCCCCGGCTGACCTTCTGCCCCAGAAGGCCTAGCACACGGCCATAGAGGCCCAGGCTGTGTCCAGCCTTTGTCAGCCGTGCCTCCGTGGTCCTGTACACACCGTTGAGGGCCTGACCCAGCTGCAGGGCCCCGTGGAAGAGGAGGGTCAGCTCCTCATGTTGTGCCAGCTCCAGGCCCCCGACGGGCGCTGCAGAGGCGGGCCGGGCCACCGTGGCCAGAGCACACAAAAGGCACAGTGCGAGCTTGGGCATGGCTGAGGCTCTGAGGGTGTGGCCATGGCGCCACTGCCACCACCTTTTATGCCCCAGCACCCCGTTAACCCCCGGTCAATCGTTAACTGGCCAGCTGGACACCCCGGGTTGTGCAAGGGCCTGGCGGTGGCGCGACAGTTGCATCAGGCGAATGTCCGGTGAGGCCACGCTGAGATCACGCCGGCTGGGGCTTGGTGCCAGCTGTGGACTGGGGGGGGGCACTGGTCGAGGACAGGCCCAGGCCCCACCGGGAAACCTGAAGCTCGGAGCCTCAGTTTCCCCACCCGTGGAAGGGATGACAACAGTGACAGACATGGTAGCCATAGCAGTGAGGATAGTGAGCGTCTTAGCGCGGACGGTTTGGGGGAGGGGGTGTAGGGGGCAGAGACTCTCCCAAGGCCGCACAGCCTGACTGCAGGCCCCGTGTGTGCCCCGGATCAGGGCTAGCTGCCATTTCTGCTCCTTGGATGACTGTGGGCAAGTGCCTCTATTCTTCCCCCCCACCACACACACACATGCGCACCGTAAAATGGGAGGAACGTTCATCCCCCGTCTTTGGCTGCTTGGAGAAGTAAATGAGCTGTTCCTCATGCTGAGCGCTTAGAACAGAGCTGGGCCTGCAGTAGGTTCCATGTTAATGTTTGGTACAATTCTTGTTGCTCCCCTTGTTTTTTTATTACTGGTATTATTATGAAGGCTAAGTTGGGAGGCTTGATGCCCCCGTTATACAGATAGGGAAACTGAGGCCCAGAAGGAGGTTGGGGCTTGCACAGAGTTAGCCGTGAGAGGGAGAGACAGAACTCTGACTTTAGCCCAGCCCCACTTCTGATTCTGGCCTCAGTTTCTCCACCCAAGACGCAGGCCTCATAACTCTAGCAGCTTCTCCTGGGGGAAGGGCAGTCAGGCCCCTGAGCGGGGGAGAGGGGGCGGGTCAGCCCAAGTGGGGGCTCGGGCCTGACTGCTGGCCGCCTGGGCCACCTTCTTGGGACCCCAACCCTGAGCACCCATCTGTCCCTGCTTGGCACCCCCCCATGCCTCAGTGCCCCCAGAGTCCCTCTGTGTCCCCACCCTCTGCTGTACTGTTCCCCCATCTATGCTCTGAGGGTGCCCACCTGTCCCCCACTCTCTGCCAGTGACATCTCTCGCCCGGTGCCCATAATTGCCCCACACGCTGCCCTCGGTGCCCCAGCTACGTGGCCATCGATGCCCCCCCCCCCCCGCGTCCCAGGCCAGGCTTGCGCCAGAAGCCCAGCCCCGCCTGTGCTTCTGATGCCCCCCTGCCCCCCCAGGAACCTGCTGTACGTGTACCCACACTGCCTTAACTTCAGTAGCCGCCAGGGCTCCGTGCGCAACCTCACCGTGCGAGTGCAGTACATGGCGGGCGAGGACCCCAGCCAGGCCCTGCCGGTCAGTGGCCGCGCCGGGGGTGGGGGCGGGGGTCCCAGCTGGGGCATCCCGGGGGGCCCCTCACGCTCACCCTCCCCCAGGTCATCTTTGGCAAGTCTAGCTGCAGTGAGTTCACCCGAGAGGCCTTCACCCCAGTGGTCTACCACAACAAGTATGCGGGGTGGCGGGACGGGGCCGGCGGTGGGGACGCGGTGGGGCAGCAGGAGGGGAGGCTGCCGCTAGGAGAGCCGGTGGGGGATCCTGAGGCAGAGGGCAGACCGTGGGGCCAGGCAGCACTGGGGTCTGACTTGCAAGAGGGGGTGGGGAGGGCCAGGGGGGTCCCCGCCCCCAGCAGAGCCCCATGCCAGGTCCCCAGAGTTCTACGAGGAGTTCAAGCTGCGTCTTCCAGCCTGTGTGACCGAGAACCACCACCTGCTGTTCACCTTCTACCACGTCAGCTGCCAGCCCCGGCCGGGCACAGTGCTGGAGACTCCCGTGGGCTTCACTGTGAGACCCCTGCCAGCCCTCACCCCCACCCCCAGCCCCAGTCACCCCCTGTTTGGCCCCGGACCTGACCCCCAGCCTCTCCCCAGTGGATCCCACTGCTGCAGCATGGCCGCCTGAGGACCGGCCCCTTCTGCCTCCCTGTGTCTGTGGACCAGCTCCCACCCAGCTACTCCGTGCTCACACCAGACGTATGTGCCCTGGCCCCCTGCCTCCCCTCCCAATGCCTTGTCCCCCGACGATACTCCCCAGGCTTCCACCACATGGTTCCCGATCTGTGCCATGCCTTCCTTCCCATGAATACCCCTGGGAGCCTTGTTGCCCTCTTTTGGGGCCTCCGGGGCCCCTGGCTGCTCCATCTCCCCCATTACTGCTTTTGTGTGTCCGACTGTCCTCACATGTCCCTGTCCCCCCCCTAGCCTGGCCTCATTACCACCTCCTGCCCCTGCACTCACCATTCCCTGTCTTTCTGCTCCAGTGCCCCATTCGTAGCCCTGCCTGCCTCCCTGACCATGATCCCCCCAGTAGTTCTTCCAGGGCCCATCACCCCCATTAATGCTGTCACCCTCCCACTTACCCTTGAGCTGTCATTAATGCCCTGGGGGCCTCAAGTTCTCTCATCATGCTCTTTCCCAATTCATTCCCTTCAGTAATGTGCACCCCAGGCCTCCATTGTCTGTTTCTCCATTTGTACCCCGGGCTTCCAGCCTGCCCAGGGGACCCCCACAGTACTCCCTCCCATCTGCGTTCCCCCGGGTTGGCACCTGGCTGCTCCCACCGGTGGGGCTGGGCTACACCCACAGTATATTGCAGTGGCTGGTGCCCCTGGCGCTATGGGCCCAGGAGGGCGGGCCCATGCCCACCCTGGCGTGTCCCTCCTGCAGGTGGCGCTGCCGGGCATGCGCTGGGTGGATGGCCACAAGGGCGTGTTCAGCGTGGAGCTCACTGCCGTGTCCTCTGTGCACCCGCAGGTAGGGGGTGGGGGGAACCGAGGAGTCCGGCCCTGGGGTTGAGCAACAGTGCCGCTGACCGGGGAGGCCTGGCCTCGGGCCACGGACATGACTTTGGTCAGCGAGGCCCTGCTCCCAGGGAAGCTGCTGACTCAGGCGGGGGCGGCCATGCCAGTGGCCATGCCGGCTGGGGCTTTGGCCCTTTGCATGGTCTCTCCTCCCCATGTGTGTCCCTCACCACTTCTGTGGTCACTCCTCCGCCCCCTCTCCTCCCTCCAGCTCCTAGCTCATCCCTTTCCTCATTTATAGTCAGTTCGTTGATCCCCGGCCTTGGTTTTCTGCCCACTGAGCACCACCCCCAACCGTCCAGGGCCTTCCCAGCCATGGAACCCTGGCCCCCCGCCCTGCTCATCCCGGCTTCCCCCCGACCCCCAGGACCCTCACCTGGACAAGTTCTTCACTCTGGTGCACGTGCTGGAGGAGGGGGCCTTCCCATTCCGCCTCAAGGACACCGTGCTGAGTGAGAGCACCGTGGAGCAGGAGATGCGGGCCAGCCTAGCAGCCCTGCGCCTCGCCAGCCCCGAGCCCCTTGTTGCCTTCTCCCACCACGTGCTGGACAAGCTCGTCCGTCTGGTCGTGCGGCCTCCAATCATTGGCGGCCAGATCGGTGAGCGGGCACAGCCTCAGACCCCAGTTTCCCTGTCTGGAAGAGGGCCGGCCGCTCAGTCCCCCGGACCTGGGTGACCTTCTCCAGCCCACTTATCTTTCTGGCCTCGGTTTTCCTTTCTGAAAAATGGCTCCCAGCCACTTGTGACCCTTTGGCCCCACGACCCCTTGGAAAGGTGGGAGATAGGAGGTTCCTTGGGGAGGTAGAAGGCCCTGGGCTTTAGCACTTGACCTCTGCTCTGCCCGGCAGTGAACTTAGGTCGTGGGGCCTTTGAAGCAATGGCCCATGTGGTCAGCCTTGTCCACCGGAGTCTGGAGGCTGCCCAGGATGCCCGTGGTCACTGCCCGCTGCTGGCTGCCTATGTCCACTATGCCTTCCGACTACCTGGCACCGAGCCCAGCCTCCCAAGTGGTAAGTGTTAGTGGGAGGCCCCTGGGGGACAGGACATATCTGGGAGGAGAGCATCCCAGTCAGAGGGAACAGCATGTGCAAAAGCCTGGAGGCCGTACAGACCTTGGCTGGTTTGGGCAACTTGCAAGAGAGAGAGTTTTTTATTCACTCCTCCCCTCCCCAGGCTGGTGGTCTTTGTTGCTTGCCTGGTGGGTCATTCAGCCAGTCAACAAGCATCCGAAGTAAGTTGAAGCAGAGACGCAGCTGGGCTGCCCAAGCTCAAATCCCAGCTCTGCTTCCTTCAAATGCTGTGACCCTGAGGCCAGGCTAGTGGGGGCAAGTGACTTCACCTCTCCGGGTCTGTTGTCCATTTGCAAAACAAGGATAATAACGGTCATCCCTTCATGGGGGCACTGGTAATAGTAAATGAGGTCTAATCCGTGTAACAGGCTTGATACGGTGAATGCTCAATGCAGTTGGATCCTTTTCTATTTGCTAAGTAATTAATACTAACCTCTAGCCCCTCTGGGCACTGACCACATGCCAGGCACTGTTCTTGGGCTTTGTCCATCTCCTCCAAATCACTATGAGGTGGCAGCCACTAGCATGCCCATTTTATAGGCGAGAAGACTGAGGCTCAGAGACAGAAAGTGACTTTATCCAGGCCAGCCGGCCGGGAAGGGGCAGGGGGCTGACCATCTTGCCGCCATCCTCAGGGGCCCCTCCAGTGGCGGTGCAGCCTGCCACACTGGCCCGTGGCGCTGGCCGCCCCACCAGCCTCTACCTGGCCCGCTCTAAGAGCATCAGCAGCAGCAACCCTGACCTGGCCGTGGCCCCGGGCTCTGTGGACGACGAGGTCTCCCGCATCCTGGCCAGCAAGGTAGGGCGTGGGTGGGTGCTGGGGTCTCTAGCCTCAGCGGCCACGGCTGCCAGGTGAGCGGGTGAAGGATTAGGGTTGACAGAGGACGGGAAGCGCCAGGCAGCAGCATGGACAGAAGCTTGACTCTGGGCAGCGGGGCTGGTCTGCGGCTGTCACAGCTTGGGAGCTGCGACTCAGACTTTGCCCTGGGCTCCGCACTCCAAGGCCGACCCAAGGATGGGTGGCTGGAGGTTGGCCTGGTTGAAAAAAGCAGTGTGTACATAGCGGAGAAGGTGCGTATAGGCGCATATACCAGATGCATATACTCACAGACCCCATGCATGTGTGTGCACGGGGCACTCCATGCACGGCCGCCCACAGGGAGCATATGCGCGTGGGCCCCAAGCACGTATGTGCACGTGCATTTGCCAGGGTTGCGTGTGGGTGCCCAGGGTGCGCGTATGGCCCCGGGCAGTGCTCACGCTTGGTGTTCCATGCCGTTCTCCCCGCCTTCTGCCCATGGATTCTACCACTTCCCCGTGTGTCTCTAGGGTATCGACCGCTCACACTCCTGGGTGAATTCTGCTTATGCTCCAGGAGGCAGCAAGGCTGTGCTGCGACGGGCACCCCCTTATTGCGGGGCCGACCCCAGACAGGTGCCCTCCCTACCTGCCCCTGCACGCGTGTGACCCCATCTCGGCATGAGCTCCTCCCACCTTCCTGGCTGTGGCCCACTAACCTAGGGGGGCTGCCTGAAGGAGGCAGCAGACCCCTCCTGCCTTTGTTCAGGGGCTATGGAGTCGGTGTTTTAGGCATCACGGTCATCTTAACCAGCCTTTTGCTGCCTTACAGACTCCAGCCTCAGGCAGAGACAGGAGGGAGAGGGTGGTATGCAAATAGCATGCAAATGATATGCAAATCCAGCCACTATAACCTCCCTGCCTCGCATGGCCTGTTTCTCTCCCTTTAATCCACTCTGCTCAGGAGCCTCTCAACTGTCCCCTTGACATAGCAATCTGAATGATGCTAAAGGGCCGAGACTGACCCTCTGGGCTCTCCCTGCCCTCCTGTTTCAGGCAGACAGACCTCTGTGGGCAGCTCCCTTTACTCTGTCCCTTCCCAGGGATCTGGTGTGGGGAGAGGCTTTGCCTTCAGACGGACCTGGGTCCGAGTTCTCGAGTTCTTGCTCTGCTCTGGGCTCGCCCTGTGCCCTAGGCTCTGAATTTTCAGATGTCGTCAAGATTCAAAGTAAAGTGTTTATTAGCACAGTGGTGCCGAACCTGGGAGCGCGTTAGGGCATCACAGGCAGGATTTTATTGGGATAGATCTCAGTCCAGCCTGGCCTCTGAGCTGCCAGGTCGTCTGGGAGATAGGCACCGATCATACAAACACACGAGTATGAAAGTGCAGGGTGTGAAAATGCCTGAAAAGAAATGAACAGGAATGAGGCCACCAGCCCCCTCTGGGTGGTCTGGGGGGGCCTCTCCAGGGAGATGACATTTCTGTTGGGACCTGAAGGGTGAGACAGAGCCAGCCAGGAAAGGGTGGCTGGTCCAGATGGAGGGAAAGGCACATGCAAAGGTTGGGACCGAGCTCAGAGCCCCTGAGGCACTGAAAGGAAGCCACTGGGGTGGTTTCTCCGCACACTTGGCCCCAGACCTTGTTCTAGCTCCGTGCCCACCACCCGGGGAAGCCTGCACTGAAGGCAGGCCAGGGGACTATTAGCAGCAAGGGACCTTTTGGACAGTCTTCTCCTGAGATTGCTGGAAAGCTGGGTTCATGGGCCCTGCCGGCCCCCCAGCATCTTTAAGAGGGCCTCCCCCAATGCCCTCATTCTCTGAGGCGTCAGCTGGGCCTCGAAGAGCCCCTAGGAGGGGACGAGGTGGTGAGAGGGTGGGCATGGCAGGCAGGAGGGGACCCTGAGGCCGGCTTTTGCCGTGGGTGGCCCATCTGGCGTGTGTTGAGGAGCCAGGGCCCTGCTGGGGTTGTGGAAACTGGGGGTCCCTCGAGTGCTGGGGCCCGGGCAGGTTCCAGGGGTCAGAGCAGCTCCATCTTCGGGCCTCCTTTCCTTGCCAGTGGCCTCACCTCCCGACCAGCAAAGAGGAGGGGAGAAGTGGAGCGTGGGGCCCCATCCCTATTTCACAGATGGGGAGCACTGAGGCAGGCAAGGCTGGAACAGGGCCAGGCCTGGAACCCGGGGCTCTCGGCTGCTCCTGCTGCATCTCATCGGCACCTCCACCCACCTCTGTCCTACCTCTTTCCCTCTCCTTTCTTTACCCTCGCTTGGACCCCATGTCTGTACTCCGCTCCCCTGTCTACGCTCCCTCCTGCACCTCATTGCCCTTCTCTTCCATCCACCCCGGCCTCACGGACTCTCTCCGGCTCTCTGACTTCACCCTCCCTCCTCACCGTGTCCACCCGCACCCCCATCCCTCTGCCATCTTTGTCCGGCCCTGTCCACCCTCGCCAACAGGCTCCTGTCCCCATTCGCATCTCTTCTGTTCCCCCTGCTGGGCACCCCCTTCTCTCTTTGTTATGCTTCTCATCCCCTCCATCACCCCGCCCCACCTTTATCCTTATTATCTCCGCCAAAATCATCCATGCCCTCCTGGCCTGTCCACATGGACACGTCTGTGCCCTATCCATGCCAGCCAGCTCCTCCCCGTCCATACCGCCGGCATCCTCACTAACCCCCCTCGCCATCCCATCCTCTTCACCCCGTCCCGTCATAGGCCATCGACCGCAGCTCTAGCCGAACTTCTTCCTACCTCGAGGGCTCCTCCTTGGCCCCACCAGCCACCCAGCCGAGACCCACTGTGCAGAAGGTAGTGGGAGGCAGGGGGTGGGTGACTCCGTGTTGGCCCCGGAGCTCCTGTCTCCCCCGAAGCCCAGCAGGGTCTGGAGGGCCCAGGGAAAGGGCGTGCTGACTCCTTCCGCTCCCTCTCCTGCATGGTCTCCAGCTGCACTAACCCCAAGCCATCCCGCTGCATCCAAGCCCCGTTATGCCCCCCAGAGGAGGGCACGGGGTGGGCTCCTCGGCTCTCTGTGACCCTTGCCCCCACCCCCAGCTGCTGCACGAGGAGCTGGCTCTGCAGTGGGTGGTCAGCGGCAGTGGCGTGCGAGAGGCTGTCCTGCAGCACGCCTGGTTCTTCTTCCAGCTCATGGTGAGACACCCTCCTCCCCACCTGAGAGCAAGAGACGCCCTGGGGAGGTCCTCTCCTCAGGAGAGAAGCCCCTGAGATTGCACCTGAGACCCCTGAGAAATGATCCCAAGAAACCCTCCATGTCAAGAGATAAGAGACACTGAAGGGGATCTCTCCCTGGAGAGAGGCCCCCTGAAACTTACCTGAAACCCCCTCCACAGAGAGATGGCCCCCCTACCTTCCCTAGGAGATTGTGGAGACCACTGAGAGTCCCCCTAACCAGCGTGGAGACCCCTCCCTCTCAAGAGATATCCCCAGAGAGAGAGGGAATCCCTGTGATCAGACTCAAGACCTCTGCGCCAGACTCTTCAAGTGGTGCCTTGAACCACCACTGCTAGATACAACCCCCCTCCCCGATCTGGTGGGCCATCAAACCCCACCCAGGGCTCCCTCAAATCCCACTCCTTGAGCCCTACTTTCTGTCATACCCACATACTTAACCCCAGGAGACCTACTCCAGCCCTTCCCAGGCTCTTTCAGCCTCCCCACCCCTGCACCCTGCCTAGAACCCACTCAGGCTCCTCTCACTGCCGGCTCAAGCCCCGTGTTAAGAGTCAGGGCTCAATCCCTACCCAGGACCCCTTATGCCCACATCTAGCCCCCGTGCCTTGCTACTAAAGCACCGCTCACAGCCCCTCAGGCCCTGCCCCCTGTTCAGTTCCTCAAGCCCCGCTCCACTCTCACCCCACCCCCAGGTGAAAAGCATGGCGCTGCACCTGCTTCTGGGCCAACGGTTGGACGCGCCCCGCAAGCTTCGCTTCCCTGGGCGTTTCCTGGACGACATCGCGGCCCTTGTGGGCTCTGTGGGCCTGGAAGTCATCACCCGGGTATACAAGGTGTGCAGGAACAGGCCTCAATGGGAGGGGTCTGAGAGAGGACATAGAGCCAGCCAGGCAGGGGCACCATGAACCCCCTTGCCAGATCAGTCGGTTTTACCAGAATCTATTTCTTGAGCACTGACTGTGTGCACAGTGGCTGTGCTGGATGGTAGACACAGCAGTGAACACAACAGGCCCAAATCCATGTTTTCATGGAACTGACTTTTTGAGGAGACTTGAAGGGGGCAGGGGAGAGCACTCTATGCCATGGCTGGGGGAAGGGCCTTCCAGGCAGTGGGAACAGCAAGTGCAAAGGCCCTGAGGTAGGACCATGCCTGGGTTATTAGAGGAGCAGTTAGGAGGTAAGTGTGGCTGGAGTGGAGTATGCAAAAGTGGGAATGCGAGTTGATGAGGATGGGGAGGTGGACAGAGCAGATCCATTAGCGCTTAGCACAGTGCCGAATACAGTAAGTGCTCAGTAAATGGACATTGATGTTCTGAGGCCTTATTCATTGATTGTCCAGGTCCTGGATCACTAATTCCAGTGTTCACAGGAGCTAGGCAGGCAATAATAATAATGAGAGTAGTAATAGTATTGAGCATTTATTGAGTACTTACTGTGTATCTTAAACATGGTTGATGGATCATATCATTAAATTCTCTCAACCACCCCCATGAAGTTGTCTCCATTTTACTGGTGGGGAAACTGAGGCAGAGAATGACCAGGTAACAATGTGATACCACACAACTGAGAAGGGCAGAATGGGGATTTGAACCCAAGCTACCAGCTCCAGAGCCCACAGCCTCACCACCTGGGAAGAGTGGGGCTTAGGGTGGACTCGGGGGCACGTACCCATTGGCTGTGGCCAGAATGCCTGATTTTTCAGGAGAAATGGGAGTTCTGGATTTGATAGGAACTTTCCAGATTTTTTGAAATGCCGGCCCAACCCAAGTCAGCCCTTGTGCAATCTCCCATGACCTCCGGGCTGGGCTCAAAGTTCTCGACCTTGTTCCACTGGAGCCTCCCCAAGGGCTGATATTCCCAGGGGCTGAGCCGGATTGTGAGGAAACCACACTCAGAATGGGCTGAAGGGAGGAACAACGCCCCCAAGAAGCAGCACAGCTGCCTAGTGAGGCATCAGTGATGGGCCACGGTGGTTTCGTTGCTTCACTTGACATTTATCGAGCACTGACCACCAGGCTCAGTGTACAAGGAGGACCCAGTCTCTGCTCCCCTCTGGACTCAGAGCTAAGGCACGTTTTATATCTTGTTTCTTTGGGTGGCAGGGAACTGAGGGCCACTGAGGCTAACCACTCTGTGGCTTATGGTAGCAGGAGAGCAGAACAAGCATCAGCTAGGCCTCGGAAACCATAGCAGCCTTCTCGCTGTTCCTCATGGTTGCCAGGCACATCCTGCCCCAGGGCCTTTGCACTTACTGTTCTCTCTGCTCAGGATGCCTTTCTCATCTTGGCTCTCTCCTATCTTTTGGGTTTCTCTCAAAACAGCACCCCATTCAGTTTTCTTCAAAATACATGGAACTATCCCCAGTCCTTTTATTTATTCTCTGCCTTCCCCCCACACAAGACTGTGAGTTGGACAAGCTACAGGGACCACGTCTATGCTTTTCACAGGGCGTGGCACATAGTAGATAGTCAGTATAGTCTTGCTAAATGATTGCTGAGAGCATATCAGTTAAGAGAGAGGTTAATTTGCTTGATCATCATTACAAGTGGTTTAAATGTGACCAGAGTTTATTTCTGAGCCTAGGTGGGTTGCAGGGGATTCCACAGTGTGGGACTGGCCATCGTGGTTCATGGTGCCCCCCACGTGAGGCGTGGCAGGTGGTGGGAACAGGCGGACCTGCCCCTTCTGTATAAGTGACGGCATCACTTCTTCCCAAGCCCCATTGGCCAAGATGTAGTCACATGATTATTCTCAGCCACAAGGGAGGCTGGGAAATGTAGTCTTTGCCCAACTCTGAACTGTTGAGAAGGGGTCCAGTACTCTGAGTGGGGAGAGGAATTGGGGGAAGTCAGCAGCCAGTTTCTGCCGTCCATATTGTATTGGTCAAATCTAATGGAAGGAAAGAAAACAGTGTTCTGAACAGAGTCCTGAGGAGCGTAGACATATAACCGTGGGAAAGAGGAGGGACAGAGGGAAGAGGACAGCCAGGACGGCCAGGTGTATCTGGAGCCCAGAAGTGAGGGTGTATCAAGAAGTCCCCAGGCTTTGGGGCAATGACGCGGCTCCTGGAGGTCACTGGTGGCCTTGGTGAGAGCCAGGCCCCGTGTGGAGACTGAGGCTCAGTGGGACATGTGGATAACGGGCTGACCGGCCCTGTGCCCCTAGGATGCAGAGCTGGCCGAGCGCCTGAACGCCAGCCTGGCCTTCTTCCTCAGCGATCTGCTGTCCCTGGTGGACCGTGGCTTCATCTTCAGCCTGGTGCGGGCCCACTACAAGCAGGTAGGGGTGGGCACGGTGGGAATGGCACACCTGCAGTGACGTGGCGGCATGGTGGGCAGAGCCACATGAAGGTCGCCTGCTGACCCCCTCCCCCACAGGTGGCCACACGGCTGCAGTCGGCCCCCAACCCGGCATTGTTGCTGACCCTACGCATGGACTTCACCCGCATCCTGTGCAGCCACGAGCACTACGTGACCCTCAACCTCCCCTGCTGCCCCCTGTCGCCCCCGGCCTCGCCCTCACCCTCTGTTTCCTCCACCACCTCCCAGGTGGGCTGGCCTCATTCCTGGCTTCTCCTCTTGACCTATGACCACTCACCTTCAGCCTCTCTTCTGTGGGACCCTCAGTTGGCCATGTCAGAGTGGGCCAAAGCCCAGGTAGCCCGACCCTTCACCTCTGACCCCGCAGTCTTGGAAATTTCTTGGAGTGGGGGACCAGCTTCTTATATCTCACCCCAAATCCTAATTCCCGCCTGGGGTTCCATTTGCTGTTTCTCTGACTTCTGACTTTTGACTCCAGGCCCCGTCACTTCACACATGGGTTAACGCCAGTCTCCCCCCGCCCCCCACCCTTGACCCCTGGCCTCCCGCCATCCCTGCTTTCTCCTCCTGCCCTCTGCAGAGCTCCACCTTCTCCAGCCAGGCCCCAGACCCCAAGGTAACCAGCATGTTCGAGCTGAGCGGGCCATTCCGACAACAGCACTTCCTGGCTGGGCTCCTGCTGACAGAATTGGCGCTGGCCCTGGAGCCTGAGGCCGAGGGGTGAGCACAGGCCCGCTCTGGTCCCCGGGCTGGCGAAAAGGTCCAGGAGCCACATCCGCTCCATCCCGAGCTCCTTGCTACCCACCCCCCCACAGGGCATCCCTGCTGCACAAGAAGGCCATCAGTGCCGTGCACAGTCTGCTCTGTGGCCACGATGCAGACCCCCGCTACGCTGAGGCTGCTGTGAAGGCCCGTGTGGCCGAGCTGTACCTGCCGCTGCTGTCACTCGCACGGGACACGCTGCCACGCCTGCATGATTTTGCTGGTCAGTGGGCCGGGGGCAGGACGGGGCTACACAATCCAGGGGCTTCACTGATCACGTCGGCTCAGGTCGCGGAAGGTGGAGAGCAGGGTTAGGAATAAAAGCATGGGTGGTGGGGGTCAGAGGAAGAGGTCCCAGTGTTCTGCTGTGGGGCCCCAGGCAAGCCATTAACCTCTCTGAGCCTAAAGGTTTCTCACCTGTTACATGGGGACAGTGGTCACTTGCACTTTCCTAGGCTTATGTGAAAATATGGGGAGGAGCATACTGGGACACTGTCACCCTCCCGATGGGTGAGGAGGGGCAGGTGGGGAACATTGGGGTGAGGGGATGGTCGGAGCCCCGTGTTCATTCAGTCACTCCTCTTCAACCTTCACTGGCACCCGGGGGACAGGGGACAGTTGGAAGCACAGACTTAGGCTTTCTGGGTGGATACCCTTTGTCATTTGGGGAAAATTCTCAGTCTACCTCTTACATTTTTTTTTCCTGCCTCATTTTCTCGCTTCCCTCCTTCTGGGACTCCCAATTACACGTACGTTAGACCTTTTGATCGCATCTCAGTGCCTGCTATACTCTGTCCTGTTTCCATTGCGTTTTCAGTTGGGAAACTTTCCATTCACCTGTATTGGAACTCACTGCTTCGGTCTTCTCTGGCTGCGTCCAGTCTTCTGTTAACCCCATCCATGAGTTCCGGATTTCAGATGTTATACTTTGCGGCTATAGAACGTTCGTTTGATTTTGTGCGTGTGTGTTTTTGTAGATCCCACTTCTCTACTGAAATTTGCCATCATTTTATCCACATTTGTCCATCTTTTCTGCCAATCTATATATTAATGTCCTTGTTCGCTAACTCCAACATTTGGTCATCTGTGTGCCTGCTTCTGTTGTCTGTTTTTCTCCTATCAGTTACATTTTCCTGCCTCTTCCTATGTCTTATAACTCGTTACGGTATTTTGGATGCTGTATGTAAACGAATCATTGGGACTGAGGTAATGTCATCCTTTCCCAGTGACAGTTCCTCTTTCCCTCCCTTTTTTCTTTTTTTAAAGATTTTATTTATTTATTTGACAGAGAGAGACACAGGTAGAAAAGGAACACAAGCAGGGGGAGTGGGAGAGGGAGAAGCAGGCTTCCCACTGAGTGGGGAGCCTGATGGAGGGCTCGATCCCAGGACCCTGGGATCATGACCCGAGCCAAAGGCAGACGCTTAACGACTGAGCCACCCAGGCGCTCCCCTTTCCCTCCCTTATGCAGATAGGAAAATGGGCTGATCTCAGTCTGGCCAGGAACTGAGCTAGGTTAAGCTGAGCTAGAGCTTTAGTTAAACTCAGTCAACCCTTTGTTTCAAGAATCTTTGGGGTGAGACCAGTTCTGTATTTGTTGGCAGCTCCTGTCTCTGGCGAGACCTTTTTTTTTTTTTTTTGGTGGGGGGGCTATGGGAGTTACTCTTTTAAGACCATAGAGTTTGGAAGCCGACTCTTTAGGTTAAAATCCTATCTCTAGGGGCACCTGGGTGGCTCAGTCGTTGGGCGTCTGTCTTCAGCTCAGGTCATGATCCCAGGGTCCTGGGATCGAGCCCCACATCGGGCTCCCTGCTCCGCGGAAAGCCTGCTTCTCCCTCTCCCCCTCCCCCTGCTTGTGTTCCCTCTCTCACTGGGTCTCTCTCTGTCAAATAAATAAATAAAACCTTTAAAAAAAAAAAAAATCCTATCTCTACCATTTACCTGCTGTGTGACCCCAGGCAAGTGATGTAATCTCTCTGTGCCTCAGTTTCCTCACCCATAAAATGGGGATGGGTAAAAGCATTTATCTCATAGGGTTGTTTTGAAGATTACGAGTTAATATTTTCAAAGTGCTTAGAATGGCACCTGGCACATAGGAGATTCTAAGTGCCAACTGATGCTGTAATCATTGTGGCAGCATTTATTACTAATTATTATTGTTATTCCTGCCATTGTTCCCATCATCATCATCATCGTAGTAAACATTTATGGCTCCCATGGGCCAGGCCACATTCTGAGTGTTGAGCATATAGCAGCAGCTCGAGCAGATATAGTTCAGGCTTTTGTCATCGTATAGACAATTGTATGATAAATGTATCTAATCATAAGCACAAAAAGTGAGCTCTGAGAACAGATAACTGGAGACCTCACCCTGGCCTGGGGGAGCGGTATCAGGGAAGGCTTCCCTGAGGAGGCGAACTTTGAGCTAGACTATGAGATAGAGACGGTACTTACCAAGGGCTCATTCTTCTGTCCCCCTGTCCCTGCCCCCAGAGGGCCCAGGTCAACGGTCAAGACTGGCCTCGATGCTCGACTCAGACACAGAAGGGGAAGGGGACATCGGAGGCACCATCAACCCCTCAGTGGCCATGGCCATCGCTGGTGGCCCCCTAGCCCCTGGCTCCCGGGCCAGCATCTCTCAGGGCCCAGTGGCAGTGAGTATGGCGCTGGTCTCCAGAGATACCATCCAACCTGGTAATAGAAGTTACATAGGATATCCTGATAGGTCAGTTCTCATCACAGTATGGAGGAAATGAGAATCAGCTCCATCCCTTCTGAGCACCCTCTCCCCTGTTTGGCCCCAGGCTTCTCGCTCAGGCTGTCTCCTCTCTGCCGAGTCCAGCCGGACCTTACTGGTGTGTGTGCTGTGGGTCCTGAAGAATGCTGAGCCAGCCCTCCTGCAGCGCTGGGCCGCTGACCTTGCCCTCCCTCAGCTGGGTCGCCTCTTGGACTTGCTATACCTTTGCTTGGCTGCCTTTGAGTACAAGGTGTGGGGATGGTGATGGGGTGGGCCAAGGGACTGAGTGGGTGGACGAAGCAGGGGTGAACTGTCTTCATGCCCAGCTTCCTGTGAGTTTGAGGGTCAAGGGGTGGACTGTTTCTGGGCTGAGCCAAAGAGAAAAGGGGAAAATCGTCTTCGTGAATAGAATTTGGAAGGTGCCAAGACCTTACAGTAAAGGGGAGAGCTGTGTCTCCAAGCACACGATCCTGGAGGTCAGAAAAGGCTGAATGAGTGTGACCAAGCAGCCCAGGTCCCACAGGAAAGGGCAGAGTCAACCCTCAACCCGTTCTCTGTCCTCACAGGGGAAAAAGGCCTTTGAGCGCATCAACAGCCTCACATTTAAGAAGTCACTGGACATGAAGGCCCGTCTGGAGGAAGCCATCCTGGGCACCATTGGAGCACGACAGGAGATGGTCCGGCGGAGTCGTGGTGAGAGGGAGATGGACTGTGTGCATGTCCCTACCTCTGTGTCTACCTCCCCTTTCCCAGAAGGAAGTGCGCACATCGTCTGTATGCACGCGGGCATCTGTGTTCCCTGTTCTCATGTTGTTTGTGTTTAACTGTGTTCCCTTAGCATGTATACATGTCACCCGGTGTCCTCACGGGTTGTCCCACATGTGTCTCTTAATGCCTGAGCCCTTCTCACGGTCACACGTCCTTATGTTTTTGCACGTCTGTGAACACTCACCTGCGTATCTCAGAGAGGAGCCCGTTTGGGAACCAGGAGAATGTCCGCTGGCGGAAGAGCATCACGCACTGGAGACAGGCCTCGGACCGCGTGGACAAGTGGGTGTGGGCAGGAAGTCGGTTGCTGGGGTCGGACCAGTTTCCGGAGAATGGGTGCCCCTAGGGCAGCTAAGGGAGGGGCAGAGAGCTCAGCCCCCAGCCCCCTCCCATCCCCTCCAGGACCAAGGATGAAATGGAACATGAGGCCCTGGTGGACGGGAACCTGGCAACCGAGGCCAGCCTGGTGGTTCTGGACACACTGGAGATCATCGTGCAGGTAGGGCTCGAGCCAGCATCTCTCTGACCTCTGACCCCACCGCCGTTCCTTGTGATCTCTCTTTCCCTGACCCGGGAAGCAGCTCAGTCCCTAACAGCTGGATTTTTGACCCCTTTCTCCCCGACCCCCTGGCAGACAGTGATGCTGTCAGAGGCCCGGGAGAGCATCTTGGGTGCAGTGCTAAAGGTTGTGCTGTATAGTCTGGGCAGTGCCCAGAGTGCCCTCTTCCTGCAGCATGGCCTGGCCACACAGCGAGCCCTGGTGTCCAAGGTAAGCCCCGCTCAACAGGCAGGGCCCTGAGTAATCGTTGTAGCCCACTGAGCACCTACTGTATGCTGCTCAGCCACTTCATGAGACAGACACTCCTGAGCCATAGTTTATAGAGGAGGGAGCTGAGGATCAGAGTGGCAGAGTCACCACCCCCAGGGTCACACAGCAAGGGCCTAACCCCGTGTCTGATTCTGAAGCCTACTGTGCTTGGCCAGAGGGGGCAGAATACAGACGCCCCTGCCGCAGTCCCCATCAGGGGCCTTCTGTGGCACCACGGGGAGGGGCTGACCAGTGTCTGTGTTGCGCTGGGGGGGCAGTTCCCGGAGCTGCTGTTCGAGGAGGACACGGAGCTGTGCGCGGACCTTTGCTTGAGGCTGTTGCGACACTGTGGCAGCCGCCTCAGCACCGTCCGCACGCACGCCAGCGCCTCGCTCTACCTCCTCATGCGCCAGAATTTCGAGATTGGCAACGTAAGTGGGAGCGGCGGGCAGAGGCCATGGTCCACAGGAGGCTCGGGGGGAGGGGAGGCGGCCGGGGGAGGGGGTGTGTTGGTGCAGTAGATGGAGGGTGGGAGGGGAGAGGTCGGCAGGTCGAGCGGGCCCTGGGGGTGAGGGTCTCTGGGGGTGAGGGTCCCAGGCTCACAGGTGTTCTCTTCCTTCCCGGCTCCTCGTAGAACTTTGCCCGCGTGAAGATGCAAGTGACCATGTCCCTCTCATCCCTGGTGGGGACAACGCAGAGCTTCAGCGAAGAGCACCTGAGACGGTCGCTCAAGACCATCCTCACCTATGCCGAGGAGGACGTGGGGCTGCGGGACAGCACCTTCGCCGAGCAGGTGACACCGCCGGGCCCCCCTGCCATGCCTTCCTCAGCCTACATCTTTGCTCTGCCTGCTTCACCCCCACCCCCGCCACTAAGGCTCTCGGTCACGCCTCGATGCCCTCATTGTCCCCGGCCGCTCCCCCGCTCCAGGTCCAGGACCTGATGTTCAACCTGCACATGATCCTGACGGACACGGTGAAGATGAAGGAGCATCAGGAGGACCCGGAGATGCTCATTGATCTCATGTACAGGTGATGAGGGCCAGGTGGGCCCTTCAGCTGTTCTCACCCACAGACAGGTGGCGGCGGGGTGGGTGGGGAGGGTGACAGGTGAGCAGGCAGGAGAGGGCACAAGGGGAGGGCAGGTAAATGAACGGTACAAAGGGTGCCAGGTGAACATAATTGGAGGACGACAGAGGAGAATAAGGTCAAGTGAGGGGGACAGGTGGGAGAGACAGGTGAGGTGCTAACCTGTGACAGGTCTGGGAACAAAGTGATTTAGAGAAAAGGTGAGGGGTGTTTGGGAAGAAGTAGGGGAGTGGGAGGCGGGGGACAAGTGATGGAGCTAGGGAAGGCGCAGGGGCCTATGGAAGGTCGGGGCCTGGTGCACGGGGACGTGGGGCCAGGAGCAAGGGGAACAGGGGCGTGGCTTAACATTCCAGCTTTGGAGCCCGGCTGGTGAGCGCCGCTGATGGGTGGGGTAGCAAGCAAAGGGGTGGACCAGCGAGGGGCGGCCAGTGGGGGCTAGGCGAGTCCCCATCCTCCTCACCAGCGCCCACCCGTATGCCAGGATTGCCCGCGGCTACCAGGGCTCCCCCGACCTGCGGCTGACGTGGTTGCAGAACATGGCCGGGAAGCACGCGGAACTGGGCAACCACGCGGAGGCCGCCCAGTGCATGGTGCACGCCGCTGCTCTGGTGGCCGAGTACCTCGCCCTGCTGGAGGACAGCCGCTACCTGCCTGTGGGCTGTGTTTCCTTCCAGGTGAGCCGGTGGGGGCAGTGGCGGGCCCGATGGGGCAGGGCGTGGCACCTGTGGGCCAGGGCCAAGGCTTGATGCCACCTCCCACCCCAGAACATCTCATCCAACGTGCTGGAGGAGTCTGCCATCTCCGATGACATCCTGTCCCCCGACGAGGAGGGCTTCTGTTCCGGGAAGCACTTCACGGAGCTGGGGCTGGTGGGGCTGCTGGAGCAGGCGGCTGCCTACTTCACCATGGTGAGGCCTGCGGCTGGCCGCAGAACGCAGGGCTCGGGCCAGGGTGGCGTCCTCAGGGCTACTGACGGGCCCAGTACCTGCTCTTGGAGGCTCCCGGTGAAGCTGCTGCCCGATCCCTTTCTGGGCAGGGGATTGACTGAGGACAACGGGGACCTTCACAAGCTCGGGTTACCTGCCTCTCTCCCTGTAAAACCCTTAACACGTGGCCTGGACGTAGTTAGCCTTCCATACACTCAGCCGCTATTAAATTTTTTTCTATTAGAGAAAATTTCGAGCATGCATAAAAGGTTGCACCCCCACCCCCACACCCAGCACTCAAATCCAGCAACCACCAGTCTTCACGCTCTTGTTTCAACTCCTCATTGCCTCTAGTTTTTTGTTTTGGTTTTTGATGGCGTTTGTTTTTTTTAATTTTTGTTTTTGGGGTTTTTGTTTGTTTTGTATATACATAAAAAGACAAGATCTTAATTTTCACAGTTTTTTTTGTACATAAAAAAGACAAGATCTTAATTTTCACAGATTGATTGATGAAACCCAACATGACCGTTCAGCTGGAGTTTTTTTTCAAAGCTTGCCTACTCAGTGTGGTCTGAGGACCAGCAGCACGGGCATCACCTGCGGGCTTGTTATAAATGCAGAGTCCTGTGCCCCCCAACCCTACATTTTAACAAGATCTCAGAGATTCCTGTGTGCTGGGAGTCAGAGAAGTTCCAGCTTCAAACAAACCCTACTCATCACACTGTCACCTGCACAAGTACCTCCCTGTGCAGCCTCTCTAGTGAAATCCTTTCATGCAGCTCTTTTTTTTTTTTTAAAGATTTTATTTATTTATTTGAGACAGAGAGAATGAGAGAGAGAGAGAGAGCACATGAGAGGGGGGAGGGTCAGAGGGAGAAGCAGACTCCCTGCCGAGCTGGGAGCCCGATGCGGGACTCGATCCAGGGACTCCAGGATCATGACCTGAGCCGAAGGCAGTCGCTTAACCAACTGAGCTACCCAGGCGCCCATGCAGCTCTTTATACCAGTCTGTGCTTAGATGTCCCTGACGATCTCGAAACAATGTTCTTTCTGCAGTTGGTTTGTTTGACTCAGGATCCACGTAAGACCCACAGTGGCTCTGGCTGACAAGTCTCTTAAGCCTCTCTCAATCAAAGAAAGAAAACAAGAACAAAAGACAGGGCATAAGTTCCCCACTTTGTACAATAAGGGTTTTTAATGTTTTCCTTGATAGGTTGAGGCCCAGGCGTTGTATGTTGTAAAAGGGTTTTCTCTTCCAGTTTGCTTGTTTGTGTGAAAGCAGTTGGGTTTCCCCCTGCATTTCACCTGTTGGAGACCTGGGCTTTGTTCCAAGGGCTTTTCTGGCCCGCTTAGGGCTGGTGGCGTCCCTGTGGTGTTGCTTTACCTGTTCCTCAGTCCCCTGTGTTTATGGGAACTGATGATTAGATCTGGAGCCCTGCTCAGATTCAGGGTCAGGTTTTCCAGTGAGAATTCTTTTCTGTGTTGCCAGCCCCCTAGTGGGGTTTTCATTATTGTCATTGTGTTAAAGGCTCAGAAACAAAAGCCTGGGGAATAAATTGGACGGTAGACACAGACCTCTCACAGTTGGTCAGCAAACATCCCAGGCTGCCTGCTGTGCTGGCGCTGGCTGTGGGTGAGGGGCACTTAAGAGCGGCCATTATCACATGCCAAGAGGTAGCTGGGTGTGGAAGTCTTGGGCACCAGGCCAAAAGGGCTGGTGTTCAGGTCCTGGCCCTGGGGAGCCATGTCTCCGAGTTTTAGTTTTCTGAGAAATGAAAAAAAAGAAAGACAAAAACCAAAAAAACCTCCTCCCACAAATGAAGGAACGTGGGTAAAGTATAGATGTACACAGCACCTGGTCCATAGTAAGCACGGTAGAGACTATGGAGGGGTCTGTGGGGGCTGAGTGGAAAGACTGGTGTTCCATCTGGGGCAGGGTGGTCAGAGTGGGCTTCCTGGAGGAGGTGATGAAAGATGGAGCCCTAGAGGATGGGTAGTTGCACAGAGGGTGGGCTGTTCCAAGCAGGAGAGAAAACTAGGGGGGGGTGCTGAGAATCCTGATGTGCCCCCACCCCCAGGGCGGGCTCTACGAGGCAGTGAATGAGGTCTACAAGACCCTTATCCCCATCCTGGAAGCCCACCGAGACTACAAAAAGCTGGCTGCTGTGCATGGCAAACTGCAGGAGGCCTTCACCAAGATCATGCACCAGGTGGGCCCAGGATGCCCTCCCAGACCCTGCCTTTGGCCCCACCTCCCACCTCGCCACAGCTCAGCTGACCCTGATCCTTCTCTCCCCCACAGAGCTCTGGCTGGGAGGTGAGTCAGTCCAGTGGCCACCTACCTCTGGGGTCCCTGCGATGGCTGGCCAGCAGTGGTCTGGGACCACCAGGGGGTGCTGGAGGAACATGGCTGCCTGGCCGCAGGGGCTGGTGCTCAGTGGGCAATGACGCACCCTCCACTTCTTCCCCCATACCCCCAGGTCCCCCTCCCTGCCCCAGATCCCAAGGGCAGCCTGTGACTCACCCAGCTGGGAGCTCTCCCGAGACACCCCTCCCTCGGGCAGGGCCGGCTTGGTCACTGCCTGTGAGGGGGGGCTCCGACTCCCTCCTTGTCTGTCTTTGTGTTCCTTTTTGTCTCAAATTATGGTCTCTTTCCCTGTCTCTTTCTCTCTCCCTGTCTTGGGCGCACTCTCTCTGTCTCTCTGGGTCTCTGTCTCTCACTGTCTCCTCCAGCTTCTCCCAGGATCTCTGCTCCTCACTGCCATCTCGTGCTACCCCTCTCCCGCCTCTCCCCGACTTGGGTCTATTTTTAGGCATCTCCTAGTTTGGGGAGAATTTTCTGGCCAAAGAAGGCAGGAACCCAGAGCCAAGATGGGAGGGCTGGGTGGGGGCCGGGTAGGCCGGGCAGGTCCCCTCCTTCCCTGGAGAGAAGGAGGGGGAAGAGAGAGATCTCTGGTCTCTGCCCGAAGAATGGTACTCATGGGGCAGCATAACCAGGATCCTGGGGGTTGGGGGCTCTTACCTCTGACCTCTCCCATGACTTTGTGTCTCCCTCCCCTACCAATACCCTTGTGCCCGCCCCATTCTGCCTGGATCGGCCTTGGTGAGTGAACATGGAGCTACCCTTTTCCTTTCTGGTGGAGGGTAGTATACCTGTTGGGGTGGGGGGGGGCCCTGGAACAAGGAAGCCAGAGCCTCTGTCCCAGAGGGCTATGCATTTCCTCAGCCACTTAAGCATTTATCGAGCACCTGCTGTATACCCAGCCCCGTAGGCCTTGAGGACACAGCTGTAAGCAACAGAGCCCTAGTCCTAATTTCATATTGAGATCCAGACTCTGAAGAACTGCATGGGATGAGAGGGATAATCAGAAAGCAGCGGCTTGTGTTGAATGAAAACAAAGATTTGGGGGAGGCAGGAGACAAAGGCTGGGGAGAAAGAGTGAGGGTGTGGGCAGCTGGCCATCGTCTGGGTCTCAGGGTCCCCCCAGCTGTGCCTATGACCTAATGTTCTTGGGGTCTCCCTGGCCCTGCCCACCTCTTCTGCACTTGGGGGCTCAGGGCCATGCATCCCTGGGTCAAGGGAGCCTCCAGGGGGGGCGTCCCGGGCCACAGCTCCCCTTCTCACAGATGCAGCGTGTGTTCGGGACGTACTTCCGTGTGGGCTTCTATGGTGCCCGCTTCGGTGACCTGGACGAGCAGGAGTTTGTGTATAAGGAGCCGTCCATCACGAAGCTGGCCGAGATCTCACACCGGCTGGAGGCACGTCCCAGCGGTAGGGGGTAGATGGGCACTGGGCTGTGCTGGGGCGGAGCGGGGGCCGCTGCTCCTCCATGGCCCCGAGTCAGCCCCGTGTCCCCAGGAGTTCTACACGGAGAGGTTTGGGGAGGACGTGGTCGAGATTGTCAAAGATTCGAACCCCGTGGACAAGACCAAGCTTGACCCACAGAAGGTGAGGGCTCCTGACCATCCCAGGGGACCCCCAAATCCTATCTTCAGGGAGACTCAAAAGTACTATTGCCTGGGGACCCTCAAATCCTATTTTTCTGGCAAAGTTCAGAGCTTATCTCTCTTGGGGACCCCCAAATCCTTCTCTTTGGGAGATTCTCAAACTCGAGACTTTGGGAGATGTGGGAACCTCAGATTAAAAGCTCCCAGACCCAAGGAAGTCCAAATCCCCTTTCTCCAGGGATGGGGCCCTGCAGGGAGGCTGGCAAGCCCCAAGTGTGTGTACTGGGGCTGTGGGAGCCTCATACCTGAGCCCCGCGTCCCAGGCCTACATCCAGATCACTTACGTGGAACCACACTTCGACACCTATGAGCTCAAGGACCGGGTGACCTACTTCGACCGCAACTACGGGCTGCGCACCTTCCTGTTCTGCACGCCCTTCACACCTGACGGGCGTGCCCACGGGGAGCTGCCGGAACAGCACAAGCGCAAGACTCTGCTCAGCACAGATCACGCCTTCCCCTACATCAAGACGCGAATCCGTGTGTGCCACCGGGAGGAGGTGGGCAGAGGCCCCAGGCCCAGGGAGGGGAGAGGCTGAGACCCAAGATCAAGGGAGGCCTGGGTACCCCAGACCCATGCTGGTGAGAGGATCCCAAACTCCAACCCCTAGACACCAATCTTCAGACTCAAACCTCTACTCCGCGACCTAGCCAACCGGAGGCTAGACCATAATCAGACCAAAGTCCCCAGAGCCAGACAGGAGGCTGAGACCAGACCTCCCTCCCCCCACCACTGCCAGACCCAGGCAGGCAGACGTCCCCACACCCTGTTCATGACACAGCCTCTTGGAACCCCTCTCCACCCCCAGCAGGGGTCCAGGCAGCTCTGGGCCGGCTTGGGTCAGGACATCTTCAGGCCCCAGTCAGTGCCTGCCAACCCCCCCCCCCCAAACAGACAGTGCTGACACCAGTGGAGGTGGCCATTGAGGACATGCAGAAGAAGACAAGGGAGCTGGCTTTCGCCACCGAGCAGGACCCGCCCGATGCCAAGATGCTGCAGATGGTGCTGCAGGGCTCTGTGGGGCCCACTGTGAACCAGGTACAGCCACTGGGGCAGGCAGGCTGCCTGAGGCACCCCAGAGGCCATGTGGACACCCTCATGAGCCCCTCTCACCCTGCAGGGTCCCCTGGAGGTGGCCCAGGTATTTTTGGCAGAGATCCCAGAAGACCCCAAACTCTTCAGGCACCATAACAAGCTGCGGCTGTGTTTCAAGGACTTCTGCAAGAAGTAGGCCTGACCCCTCCAAGCCCCGCTTATGGGCTCATTGCCTTCCTGACCTCATACAGTCTCTCTGTATCGGGATGTCCATTATGGAGCTCCCACCTCTCCGGTTCTCATTAAGTCTCCTCTACCTAGCAGACTCGCATTATAGCTCCTGACCCCACCCCCCATGGACTGCCCCCCACCTCCAGTCTTGCCTTCTCCTGACTGCCAGCCCCGAGCCTCTCCTGCCCTCTCTCTCCCAGGTGTGAGGATGCCCTGCGGAAGAACAAGGCCCTGATAGGACCAGACCAGAAGGAGTACCACCGTGAGCTAGAGCGCAACTACGGCCGCCTACGGGAGGCTCTGCAGCCGCTGCTCACCCAGCGCCTGCCCCAACTGCTGGCGCCAACCACAGTGGGCCTCAGGTGCCTGACCCCGGCCCCCCACCCATCGAGAGGGCAGAGGCGGGCACAGATGGGTGCTGTCCTATACGTGCGTGTCAGCACGCCTGCTCATGACGTGGCACAAACGTGCAACTAGGGGGACAAGCGTGCTGGGCAGGCTCCCGGCAGCCACTTCGGATCCTGGCTAGGTCATTTCCCAGACATGTGACTTCATGTTCCTGAGCCGCGATTTCCGCATCTGTAAAATGGGCACAATTCTTAGCTTTGGTGGGAGATTCCAAGAGAGATTCTGTGAACTCGTGGCCAGATCAGAATGGATGGGAAAGGAGCAGAGTCCCTAATTAGAAGAGGAGGGGGTGGAGGGAGGCTGATGAGCACTATGGAGTTGGCCATGTTGACCCACCTCATCCTTCCCCCAGGAACTCCTTGAACAGAGCAAGTTTCCGGAAGGCCGACCTCTGAGCCCCGCATGGCCTGAAGCCACACCGAGAAGAACCATCACCCTGGCCTCAACTGTCTGTGCCTTCCCAGGATTCTCCCCCCACTGGCACACTGGGCTGTGGGGTGATCATATTCACACGGGGCTGGGCCCTCTGTTCCTCTGTTCCCATCTGTGTGCACTGATGTTTCTTACCTTTTCTAATTTAAAGTGGTTTTCATAAGCAGCCTGTTTGATGTGGATCCTGGGAGTTGGGTCATGAGCACACCCACACACCCTGATCTTTGACAGACTCTGAGAACTCACTGGGTGCCGGGAACACAGCAGTGACAACCGATGCAAATTCCTAACCTGGTGGGGCTGACATTCTAGTAGAGGAGGCAACACACAAATAATGTCACGTGCCCATGGGGAATAATAGTAACATTAATTAAACTCTTGGCAGAGGACTCAGCACTGCACTAAATGGCTCCTAAAAAGACACCACCCCATTTATGGGGCCTTTGTGACCTCCATTAGGCCCCTGCCTCCTAGTTAGTGAATTTTCTCAATGCCATTATCAGGTAGGAAGCATTCTTAACCCTGTTTTACAGGTGGGGAAAATGAGGCACCAGGCAGTTAGAGGCTTGGTGGGGATTGGAGCCCAGGTCCGGTTCAGCCATTGCCTGCGCAGCCTCGCACTGACCCAGCCCCACTCCCCACCCCGCGGCAGTCACGCCACCCCGTACCAGGCCTGTGCTGGGCCGCTTCCAGCCCTCGGCCGGGGGGTGGGGGAAGGGTGACCTCCCGCCGCCGCCGCCGCCGCCGCCGCCGCCGCCCGCGCCCTCCCGGAGCTGGGCCTCGGCCAGCCCCGCCCCCTCCCGCCCCCCGCAGCGCCCAGCTGCAGCGGTGGCGGGGACCGTGCTCTGGGGACTCGGGGAGGAGGGGCGAGAGGACGACACCGGACCCCTTGCGCGCGCGCGAACACACACACAGACACACACCTGCGGTCCAGGTGCGATCGCGTTCTCCCGGCACCCCCTCCACGGCGGCCCGGGCTGCGGGCGCCTGGGGGCGGGGCCGGCCCGGAGAGGGCAGGGAGGGGGCAGGGCGGGGGCGGAGCCACCGCCGAGGGCCGGGCGGCCGGGCGGTGGCGCGCGGAGGACGCACGGGCGGCGGGACGCAGGGACTGCGGCGGCCGGAGCGCGCGAGGCGAGTAGGACCCGAGGTTGGGTCGGGGTTCGAGTCCGGTTCGGGGTTCGAGCGTGGTCCCCACCCCACCCACCCCCAATCCCGGGGCGCGACCTCGCCGTTCTCTACGAGCTGCTGCTTCCAGCGCCACCGTCTAGGTCCAAACTTTGCGGACTTTGAGTGTCTCGTTCCCCGCGTCTCTGTCCCCCCTCCCCCGTCTTTGACCCCGTCCCTGCTTCTCTCCCCCGGCCCCATCCTCCTCCATCTGTACTTCTCGCCCTGCCCCTTTCCCGCATCATTGCCCTCCCTCTGCCTCTTTCCCCCACCTTGGTTCTCCTCTCTACCTCTCTACCCCCGCTCTGCCCCCTCTCTCCCTCCTCGGTGGCCGAGCCGAGCCAGGCCCCAGACGGCGGGAAGGCGTCCGGGCGTCCGGCCGGGCTGGGCCTCGGCCTGGCGGCTGGGCAGGCGTGGGGAGCGGCAGCTGTTTGCCATTAGCCTGGGACCCCGCAGGCCCCGCCCCCTCCCTGCACGGGGCGGGGTCACCCTTGCCCCCATCTTTGGGGCGGGGAGACCCCAGAGACGTCCGGGTTTGGTTGGCAGGGGGGCTTCAGGGAGACCTAGCCGGACATTCGGGTCGGCCCGGGACCCCGCGCCCCCTTACCTGTCCCCTCTGGGAGTGTCCCGCCTCCCTTTTTCTCCATCTCTCTCCTACCCGGTGTTTCCTTTTCTGCACCCCAGGGGTCCCATACAGGGAGGAGGACTTCAGCCACCACACTCCCCACCTCCATCTGCTTTCTAGACCTGGAGTCATCCTCGCACCTGGAGGGTGGTCAGATGAGTGGACACTCTCAGACCTCAGTCTCTGTGTCTGGGAAATGGGCAGAGGGATGTGGAGTTGGGGGTGAGGGTGGTGTGGCCCTGGCAGTGGGGAATCTGCCAGGCTTAGGTTCAAGTCCAGACCCGGCCCCTTCCTCCTCTGGTGACCCTGGGCAAGTCGTTGGACATTTCTCTGTCTCCAAAACAGGGCAGTAACCGAGTGCCTGATGGGACTGTTGTGATCAAAGGAGCGGCTGGGATGATTATTACACTTATCACCATTGTTTGCCCCACCGCTGTTCACCTCCAGGGGCCCCCACAGGCTATTCCAATTCTGCTTCCTGCCACCAGTCTCTCTCAGGTCTCCGGAAAATACTTTTGATCACCTCCGTGGTGTGTAGGGGGTGAACCTCCAAGCAGGTGGAAAACCGAATTTCATACAATTGGTGACTGTGCTCCAGGCGTTGAAAGACAGAGACGTGGAGGGAGAGGGAGAGAGAAGTGGAGCGAGACACAGACGGATGCGGAGCGACGCGGAGAGACGTGGAGAGACTAAGCAAGAGGCGAGCAGGGTGTGAGGAGAGGACAAGCTTGGCCGCCCCTGGAGCCCCAGCCTCGCCTTCATGCCCGGCAGGTGCCCCGCTTGGCCCATCCTCCCAGGTACCCACTGCCCTGGCACCCATAGGCCAGAGAGAGTCCTCCTTGGTGAGATGGGATGGGGCCTCTGGAGCAGGATGGCTAGAGGTCAGACAGCAGAAAGGACTGGCCAAGCTCAGGCTGAGTGGTGGGGACAAAAGGGTCCTGGCTGGCCTCCAGGGCTGAGGAGAGGTTAGTGAGAGGCTTTGATTGTCCCTCCCTTTTGCAGCCTCCAGGCACCCTCTCTTACTTCCTCCCGCCCCCACCCCCATGACTTCCCTGGCCACCACCCGGCCTTCTATCCCTGCTGCGCCCCTGAGCCGGACGCATCCTGGGGGGGCAGGAAGTTCTCGTGTAGCCCGGCAGCAAAACTGTTTATTTTTAGAGAAAATTGTTTCCATAAAGAGGAAAGGCTTTGCTCCTCACTGCCTCCCCTCAACTTTCCCTACCCCCCCCACTCTGGCTGGCCTGACCCCGCTCTGCTTTGGGGTCCCCTACCCTGAGCTCCATCTCTCCTTGTGCCCCTGTGTCTCCCGTGTTCTCGGATCTTTGCAGAAAGACTGTCCCCCACTTAGTGCCCCAGCCCCCTGCCCACCTCAGCCCTGATCTATCCCCGTAGCCAGCTTCTGGCCTGGGCTGAGAGGAGGGGTGCAGGAAGGGTGGGGCCTGTCGGGCTTGGGGCCCCCCGGCCCAGGGCCTTGTGGAGGCGGGGCTGTGGGAGCAGCTGGAGCCTGTCCAGGGGCTGGACAGATGTGCAGGCAGGCCGTGAGGTTTGGTTTCTTTGTTCCAGGCTTCGGGGGCCCTCCCCCCCCACCCCTTTCCACAAGCCAGGCCGGGTGTATTCCTATGAGAGGGTCCCGGACTCGGGGAAGGTGGCGGGGGCGGGGGGTGGAACGGGGACAGTTGTGGGGGAGGGGTGACCACATCCCCTCCCCCTGCAGAACTCCTCCTGACTCCAGGCTCCAATATCCCCTCTCCCCAGGTACGCCTCAGCCTGTGTGGCAGGTGATCTGAGTCATAGGCCCCAGGTGACTCTTGAGGAGCATCTGCAGACCAGAGGATGGCCCAAGTCCTGCACGTGCCAGCCCCCTTCCCAGGTCAGGGGTCTCAGAAAGAAGGGGCTCTGCCTTGAGGTCTGGGAGAAAGATATGGCTTGCCTCAGGGGTAGAGGCCAGGGAGGAGGAGGTGGGGGGTGTTGTTGAGGGTAGAATACAGCCCTGCCCAGAGGGCCTGAATGAGGACCTTTTGGCTCTGCCCTGGAGGGTCTGAAGGGGGAGACAGTCTTTCAGGGAAAGGGGCTGGTCTGAGTAGAGACACAGGTCCCTGTGCTGGGGGTGTTGAGGGAGTAGGCACAGGCCTGCCCTGAGGGTTTCTGAGGGGGGGGACAGGGCCTTGCCTTGAGACTGGAGTCACGGTTGAGCACCCAGTGGGCTCCCATCCCTTGGGCAAATAAACCTTGACTCTCCCAGGGATGTGAGTCTTCACCCTGGTCTTTCTTCACGCCCCAGGGACCCCTGGCCCAGCCTCCCCACCCGCCTTCCCTGCCAGGGAGCCTGACCCGCCGTACTCCGTGGAGACGCCCTACGGCTACCGCCTCGACCTGGACTTTCTCAAGTACGTGGATGACATCGAGAAAGGCCACACGCTCCGGCGAGTGGCCGTGCAGCGCCGGCCGCGCCTCGGCTCACTGCCCCGAGGTCCTGGCTCCTGGTGGACATCCACCGAGTCTCTGTGCTCTAATGCCAGTGGGGACAGCCGCCACTCGGCCTATTCCTACTGTGGCCGTGGCTTCTACCCGCAGTACGGTGCCCTGGAGACCCGAGCCGGTTTCAACCCGCGCGTGGAGCGCACGCTGCTGGACGCCCGTCGCCGCCTGGAGGACCAGGCGGCTGCGCCCACTGGCTTGGGCTCCCTGACCCCCAGCGCGGCAGGCTCCACCAGCTCCTTGGTGGGCGTGGGGCTGCCACCCCCGACGCCACGGGGCTCGGGACTGTCCACACCTGTGCCTCCCAGCGCCGGGCACCTGGCCCACGTGCGGGAACAGATGGCAGGTGCCTTGCGGAAGCTGCGGCAGCTGGAGGAGCAGGTGAAGCTGATCCCCGTGCTCCAGGTGAAGCTCTCTGTGCTGCAGGAGGAGAAACGGCAGCTCACAGTACAGCTCAAGAGCCAGAAATTCCTGGGCCATCCCACAGGGGCCCGGGGCCGCAGCGAGCTCTGCCTGGACCTCCCAGAGCCCCCCGAGGATCCGGTGACTCTCGAGACCCGGAGCGTGGGCACCTGGGTCCGGGAGCGGGACTTGGGGGTGCCCGATGGGGAGGCAGCCCTTGCCGCTCAAGTCGCCGTGCTGGAGACCCAGCTCAAAAAAACCCTCCGGGAGCTGCAAGCAGCTCAGGCCCAGCAGGCTGACCCCCGGCCCCCACCAGACAGCCCCATCCGTGTGGACACTGTCCGGGTGGTAGAGGGCCCTCGGGAGGTGGAGGTGGTGGCCAGTACAGCCGCCGGGGCCCCTGCACAGCGGGCCCAGAGTCTGGAGCCCTATGGGACAGGGCTGCGGTCCCTGGCAACGTCTGGAAGGGTCGAGAGCCCTGCTGTGTTCCGCAGCCATGAGGTGGTAGAGACAGCATTCCCAGCATCCACTGGCAACGCGCCCACTGGCAACGTCCACCTGGTGAAAAAGATCAGCATCACGGAACGAAGCTGCGATGGGACAACTGGTGAGCCATAGTGGATGGGGGAGGGTGGTGGAGAGGTCCTCTTTGTTCCTCTGAATGCCAAGGTCTAGCCCCAGCCCTGGCCTTCCAGCAGACCAACCACTCCGGCTCTCAGAGCCTCTTGTCTCTTCACCTGCAAAAAAGGGGACGGTTGTACCACTGATTCTGTGTTGTAGGGAGGCATGCAGAAAAATCAGGTATCTGATTAAGTGTGCGTTTTCATGTCTAGTATGTTGTAAGTATCCAGAAAACAGGAGGTATTTGAGGGAGGGTCCCTAAGACTGTTCGTTCGTTGGGCCAAAAAACCCAATTTATTCAGTGAATGGCAGAAACCAACTTCAGACCGGTTTAGGCGAGGAGAAGGAAATGTATTGTTCCTGTAACTTAGGGACAACTTTAGGTATAGCTGGATCTAGGTGCTCCAGTATCATCAAGCATCTCTGACTTCTTCTGTGCGCCTTGGAGTCGTCTTTCTCAGGTGAGTGAAAGTGGCCCCACCACTCCAGGCATTTGTCCTTCCATCTCAGTGGAAAGGGAGCCTCTCAGTCCAAATAGTGCCCATAAAAAAATCCCAGGGGTACCCCTCATTGGCCGGTGGCAGTCATATACCCATCACGGAGCCAATCACGGTGTCCCTCACTGCCCGACCCCAGATCCTGGGGGTAGAGGAGCCCCAGCCAAGTCTGGTGGCCTTTGAGGGAACAGAGGGGTGTCCCCCTGGCGGAAGTGCTGAGTCTGCATGCCAGGAAAGAGGATGTGGGATCTGCAAAATGACAGTTGCCCCACCACTGCTACCCTTGGGCTCCTGGGAGAAGCTGTGGGAATGATTCATAATAATGACAGTTGTTCTTTATCAAGCGCTAGCCTAGTGCCAGGTGCTACGCTAAGGGTTTCACTCGTGGAAGGCTAAAGAGTATGGGGCTTTATAATCAAGCCACCTGGGTTCAAATTCTACATCTTGAGGTAGCCCTAGGTGAGGGACTTCACCTCTCTGAGCCTCAGCTTCTCTGTCTGTAAGTGGCGTAGTGATAGTCCCCACCTCTAGGACTCGTGTGAATTAATGCGCACAGTGAACCCTCAATCCCTGCTTGTTGCTGCTTTTGATAATTTTCAGGCTAATTCTGCTTATAGCTGGGGAAACTGGGGCTCAGGGAAAAGTTGTACTGGCCCTGGGTCACACAGCCAGGAAGTGGCTGAGCCAGGATCTAGACCAAGGTCAGCCTGAACCTACAGAGGGCTCAAAGGTGCAGCTCAGGCCCTCAACCCAGTCTCGAATGTCAGAGCCCCATGGCGGGACCCGAGGGCACAAGCTGGAGGGTGGGGACCCAGCTGTGTTTTCTTGCTTTTCCGTGTTGTTCCTGGCCAGCTCCGGACACCACTCCTCTGTTCTGTGTCCATCATAAACTCCCGGCCCTTTGACTCTGGCCCCCAGCCAAGGGCCCTGCCCAGTTCAGCCTTGGGATTTCTGAGAGGCAGCCTTCATTCCGGTCATGCCACCTAGGGCAGCCATGGGGCTGCCTGCCTGCAGGACACACGGACATAGTGATGTTCCCACTCTGTGCGGGCTGCTGCCCCCCAGAGTTCTTCCTTGTGTCTCACTTAACTCCTCCTTGCTGCAGCCAGCCCCAGTCTCGGCTCTGCTTGAGCAGAACTGGAGTGTGCCAGTTCATTTTAGTGTCTTTTCATTCAGCAGACTTTTATTGAATGTCTGCTATGTGCCAGACTCTTCTAGGCACTGGGGACGCAGCAGTGAACAAGATAGACAGAGCCTGTGCCATAAACACGTGAAGCTCTCTAATAAATAAGTGAAGAAATATTATTTCAGAGAATACGTGTTTGAAGCAGATAAAACAGGGGCACAGGGCAGGCAGCAGTTGGATGGGGTGGTGGTCTGGGTTCCGATTCTGATTTCGCTGTTTCCTAGTTCTGTGCCCTTGAGCCAGTTACTTGACCTCTGTGTGCCTCATTTGCAAATCGGGGGTCCTGACAGCCCGGTGTCACCAGATCAGTGTGAGGTTTAATGCGTCAGTTTTTATCGAGTGTTCCGTGTGGCGTCAGGCTGTTGGCTCTTTGAACCGAGACGTGCAAGAGAAGAGGCAGGCAGGTGGCACAGAGGTGGGAAGAAGAGCGTTCACAACAGGGACAAAGGTCCCGAAGTGAGGAGTTGCCTTGAGCACATCAAGGTGTGGAACCAGCTGGAAGAGGATGAGGCTGGAGAAGCAAGGTCTAGAGGTGGCAGGGCATCAGAGGTGGGTCCTGTAGGGCTTGTAGACTTGGGAGAAGCACTGTGAAAAATGAAATTAGATAGTACAGAACTTGACAAACATTCCAACCATGTGTTCAGGTCGGCCAGCTTGATGGGTAGATCTGGGAGTACTCCCTGGAGGAGGCGGCAGCAAGGAGGACTTCTCTGCCGTTTAGAATTCCCTCACTGCAGCCGCAGGGCGGGGAGGGTGAGAAGCAGCCTTCCCCTCAGGCTGACTCGGGTGGGTGAGGCAGGCAGAGGCCTGGACACCTCCCCGGGTCCCTTCCCCCCCACCCACCTTCCAAAGGCGCTGCCGCAGCAAGTTGACTGGGAGAAGGGGCAGCTGGGCATGTACATCTGTGGGGGCTCCGGGGCTTTGAAACGTCCTTTGCTCCCTTTCGAAACATATTCCTCTGACAGCAATTCATACTCTTTGTGGAAAATTTGGGAAGTAGCAGAAAAATCTGGAACACAAAGCAAAACCCCAGTAAACCCACCACCGCCCAGATGCAGCTGTTGTCAGCACTTCTTCTTTCCTTCCGAAATTTTTAATGCAGAAAATAATACGTATTTTTCAAGCCTGGCAACAGGGAACTGATGCTGATGGAAAGCGTTGTTCTGCGTTACTTGACTTTGAAAAGCAGTTAGGCCGCCTCACCAAGGGGCCAGGGCATTTTTAGATGCTCTTTTCATATTTTAACTCATTTACCTCCCCAAGCCACCCGGATGTGGATGCTTTGGGCAGTGTTTTCATCCCCATTTTACAGATGAGGAAACAGAGGCCTAGGGTGGTTACCCACTGTTCATAAGGCCAGGATTCAAATTACGCCTTTAGTTTTTTGGATTTAACATGATCCCAGAGGCATTTCTTCTCGTCATTAAAAATTCCTGGGATGCCGTATTTACTGAAAAGCCACATCGGTCTCTGCTGTCATCCGTGCCACGCGGACATCCTCCTGTGAAAACCCCTCACATCTTCTGTTTTCTCAGGACAGGTTTCTGGAAAACCATATTTTTTTTAAAGGTTTTATTTATTTGACAGCAAGAGAGCACAAGCAGGGGAGAGGGGCAGAGGGAGAGGGAGAAGCAGGCTCCCCCGTTGAGCAGCAGGGAGCCTGTTGTGGGGCTCGATCCCAGGACCCCGAGATCATGACCTGAGCCAAAGGCAAATGCTTCACCGAGTGAGCCACCCAGGCGCCCCTGGAAGACCATTTTTGGGGCCCATGATGTCTGTTGCCAACTTGCTTTATTCCCCTGTGGCCTCCCTTCCCACACTGGGTGGCTGAGTGGTTTACATTTTTAAAAATGTCTTTTGGCCCGAAGGAGGCCCAAACCTAGTTCATCTAAATTCTTCAGCTCACAGCGACCAGCTCCGTCGGTCTGTGCACGCCAGCCCTCTCGTTTTACTTGATTCTTTTTCCACCTTCACCTTCCACCCTCAGTGCTGAGGGTCGTATGATCTTTGTTGTGACTGCTCAGTTCCACTTGGTTCTTTTTTTTTTTTTTAAGCTTTATTATAATATGTAAAAATATTTTTTGCATATTTAATGTATGCATTTTGATGAGTTTAGTGCCCTGGTTCTGCCTGTGTAGCATGTAAGCGTGGACAATATATAAAGGGACAAGTGGGGCTGTGTGAAATTCAATTTCATATAATTTTCTTTTTTTTTTTTTTTTAAAGATTTTATTTATTTTTTGACAGACAGAGATAGCAAGAGAGGGGGAACACAGCAGGGGGAGTGGGAGAGGGAGAAGCAGGCTTCCTGCGGAGCAGGGAGCCCGATGTGGGGCTCGATCCCAGGACGCTGGGATCATGACCTGAGCTGAAGGCAGACGCTTAACGACTGAGCCACCCAGGCGCCCCAATTTCATGTAATTTTCACATGTCCCAGATAGCATTCTTCTTTGTTTTTTTCCAACCATAAAAAATGCAAAAATCGTGCCCACGGTCCATAGTTGGCCAACCCCTGCCCTATGCCATTCACGCTGCCCGCCCCCCCAGCCCATGTAATATCATTCCTTGCAATCCACCTTCCAAAAGCTTATTTAGACATTTCAGTGTCCTTGAAAAATATGCTCTATGCATGCTTGATTTCCTAAAATGGTATTGTGATTTCCGAAGAAGAAATCTTGCTGCTCTTTCTCTTTTTTTCCTCTCTGTACACTCTTTTTGAACTCTCCATCCTGATGCTTGTACCTCGGGCTTGTCACTTGTAATGACTGCGTCGCCTTCTGCCCTAGGGGCGTGCTACAGTTTTCTTTTCCGTGCCCTGTCGGCGGGCACTTGTGTGCCTTCCAGCTCCTGACTGTCATGAGCAGTGACGGCGCTGTCTTCAAGTGTCACCTCCCCTGGGGTTGCTGAATCACAGGGAATTCACCACTTCACTCCACGTTTTGTCTGATCCTTTCTGGGAAAATTCTTCCTGTCCCCACTCCCACCAGCCACGCTTGGATCCGAGGTGCCCATTTCCCCACATACCCACTGGCACAAAGGTTTGTCTCATGTTTTGCCCATCTGACACTGGCGCAAAGTGGTATCTCCTCGTTTTAATGTGCATTTCTTTGATTTTTTTTGGTGAGATTGGGCATCACCATATATGTTTAATAAGATTCTTCTGTGGATCACTTATTCATAGCCTTTGTCCATTTTTCCTCAGACAATTTTGAGAAGTTCTGGCATATTCCAGAATCAGGGTTGGCAAACTACAGCCTTTGGGCCAAATCCAGCCCACTGCTTGTTTTTATAGGCTTGAAAGCTAAGAATGGTTTTTATGTTTTTAAATGGTTGAACGATATGAAAAGAAGAACAACATTTGTGACATGAGCAAAATTATATGAAATTCAAATTTATCATGACTCAGCCATGCTCATTAATTTGCATACTGTCCAGGGCTGCTTTTGCCGCTGAGACCCTTATGGCTCACATAACTGAGAATATTTATTGTCTGGTGCCTTACAGAAAAAGTTTGTTGAGTCTTGTTCTAGAAGATAATCCCTTGGTCATTTTTGGCATTGTGAGTATCTTCCCATAATGTGCATTCGTCTATCATTTAACTTTGTCTTTTTCTTTTCAAGTTTATTTATTTGACAAAGAGAGAGGGAACCAAGCAGGGGGAGTGGGAGAGGGAGGAGCAGGCTTCCCGCTGAGCAGGGAGCCTCATGTGGGGCTCGATCCCAGACCCTGGGATCATGACCTGAGCCGAAGGCAGACACTTAACGACTGAGCCACCCAGGCGCCCCCTCATTTAACTTTGTCTATGAGGGTTGTTTTTGTTTTGTTTATTTTTATTTTTTATTTTTTTTAAAGATTTTTATTTATTCATTTGAGAGAGAGAGAGAGAGAGAGAGAGCACAAGCCGGGGGAGCAGCAGAGGGAGAGGGAGAAGCAGGCTCCCCGCTGAGCAGGGAGCCCGATGTGGGACTCGATCCCAGGACTCTGGGATCATGACCCGAGCCGAAGGCAGACGCCTAACGACTGAGCCACCCAGGCGCCCCTGTTTTTGGTTTCTTTTTTAATGAAGTAGAAATCTTCATGTCAGATGCAGTTAAATCCATCGTATTTTTCTTTTCTTCTTTTAATTTTTAATTTTTTTCAGGTTTTGAGATATAATTGGCATGTAGCATTATACCCATTCAAGGTATACAAATAGTGATATTTGTATATATTGCAAAATGATGACCGCCGTAAGTTTAGTTAACACTTGTCAGCTCAGAGTTACAGGCTTTTTCTTGTGATGAGAATGTTTAAGGTCTACTCTCTTAGCAACTTACAAATGTACAGCACAGCATTATTAGTTATAGTCCCCATGCTAGACAGGACATCTCCAGGCTTTATTTATCTCATAACTGGAAATTCCTACCTTTTGACCCCCTTCTCCTATTCCCTCACCCCCTGCCTCTGGAAACCACCGCTCTGTTCTCTGCATCTAGGAATTTGGTTTTTTCCAATTCTACATGTAAGTGAGAGCATCTTGTATTTTTCATATGTAGTTTGAGTTCGTTGGTTTGTTTTTAGAGAGAGGAAGAGCGTGGGGAATAGAGAGAGGGATGAAGAGAATTTTAAGCAGGCTCCGTGCTCAGTGCAGAGCCTGATTCTGGGCTTGATCTCACAGCCCTGAGATCATGACCCGAGCTAAAATCAAGAGTCAGACACTTAACTGACTGAGCCACTGAGGCGCCCCATCTTTGAGGAATTTTTTTAAAGGACTCTTTCCCCTTCCTGAGGCCCCTGATATTCTGTTACATCTTCTTCCTGTAGCTTTGTAGCTTCTGGTAGCTACATTGATCCTTCAGAGTTTTTGTGTTAAGGTGTGAGGTAGGGATCTAGCTTGATGTTGTTTTTTTTTTTTTTACCCCCCTTGGGTCAAGTAAGCTGCTTTTCCCAGCATCACACCCCAGAGACCAACTTTCCCACCAATTTGTGGAAACCCCTTTGTCTTAAGCCCAGCTCCCTCAGCTGGGCCCTGGGCCTGGCCTTCTCGCCTTTGTTCCTTTGGCCCCTTTCTTCCCTCAGCAATGCCTGCTGTTGGGCCATTGTGGCTGTTTGGAATGTTTTACTCTCTCTTCAGCCAGGTTCCCCATCTTTGCCCTTTTTTGTAAAGTTGTCTTAGCTGGTTGTGGACTTCGGTTCCCCCATGTAAATTGTGGTATCATTTTGCCCCATTTGGCCTGCTTTTCCCTTGGGGCAGAACGGGCTATGGGGCTGCTCTATTTCTTTCTTTTTTTTTTTTCCTCCACTTTTAAAAAATTGTGGTAAAATACACATAACATTAAACTTAGCATGTGACCCATTTTCGAGTGTCCAGTGGCCTAAGCACATTCACACTGTTTTGCAGCCATCCCCAGCATCCATCCCCAGAACTTTTCCATCTTCCCAAACTGAAACTGTCTGAGTTAAACACTGACTCCCCGTTCCCTCCCCCGGCTCCTGGCGCCCACCATCCACTTCCTGTCTCTGTGAATGTGACCCCTCTAAGGACCTCACAAAAGTGGAATCCTGCAGTATTTGTCCTTTTGTGACCCGCTGCTTTCACTGCGCAAAATGTTGTTTCACCTGATTTTTTTGACCCTCCCCGGCATTGAAATTAGGAGTCTGGAGTTTGGGGCCAATCACGGAGACGGTGAACTGGCCCATCTGCCTCCTGACACATCCCACTTGGCCACGGAGTGATTTTGTTTGTTGGATGTGAATTTATTGACAGAGTTTAAAAAAGGAAATCAGGAGATTCACATAGGAGCGCCTGGGTGGCTCAGTCGTTGGGTGTCTGCCTTCAGCTCGGGTCATGGTCCCAGGGTCCTGGGATCGAGCCCCGCATCGGGCTCCCTGCTCCGCCGGAAGCCTGCTTCTCCCTCTCCCACTCCCCCTACTTGTGTTCCCTCTCTTGCTGTCTCTGTCAAAATAAATAAATAAAATCTTAAAAAAATAAATATTGTTGAATAAGGGAATAAATTAATTTTTTTTAAAGATTTTATTTGACAGAGAGAGACACAGCGAGAGATGGAGCACAAGCAGGGGGAGTGGGAGAG